TTGGGTCATTGTCAAGCTGGAGTACCCATCCACGACCCATTTTCAATGCCCTGGCTGAAGGAAGGAGGTTCTCACCCAAGATTTGACGGTACATGGCCCCGTCCATCGTCCCTTTGATGCGGTGAAGTTGTCCTGTCCCCTTAGCAGAAAAACACCCCTAAAGCATAATGTTTACACCTCCATGTTTGACAGTGGGGATGGTGTTCTTGGGGTCATAGGCAGCATTCCTCCTCCTCCAAACGAGGCGAGTTGAGTTGATGCCAAAGAGCTCGATTTTGGTCTCATCTGACCACAACACTTTCACCCAGTTCACCTCTGAATCATTCAGATGTTCATTGGCAAACTTCAGACGGCCCTGTATATGTGCTTTCTTGAGCAGGGGGACCTTGCGGGCGCTGCAGGATTTCAGTCCCTCACGGCGTAGTGTGTTACCAATTGTTTTCTTGGTGACTATGGTCCCAGCTGCCTTGAGATCATTGACAAGATCCTCCCATGTAGTTCTGGGCTGATTCCTCACTGTTCTCATGATCATTGCAACTCCACGAGGTGAGATCTTGCATGGAGCCTCAGGCCGAGGGAGATTGACAGTTCTTTTGTGTTCCTTCCATTTGCGAATAATCGCACCAACTGTTGTCACCTTCTCACCAAGCTGCTTGGCGATGGTCTTGTAGCCCATTCCAGCCTTGTGTTGGTCTACAATCTTGTCTCTGACATCCTTGGAGAGCTCTTTGGTCTTGGCCATAGTGGAGAGTTTGGAATCTGATTGATTGATTGCTTCTGTGGACAGGTGTCTTTTATTCAGGTAACAAGCTGAGATTAGGAACACTCCCTTTAAGAGTGTGCTCCTAATCTCAGCTCGTTACCTGTATAAAAGACACCTGGGAGCCAGAAATCTTTCTGATTGAGAGGGGTTCAAATACTTATTTCCCTCATTAAAATGCAAATCAATTTATAACATTTTTGACATGCGTTTTTCTGGATGTTTTTGTTGTTATTCTGTCTCTCACTCTTCAAATAAACCTACCATTAAAATTATAGACTGATCATTTCTTTGTCAGTGGGCAAACATACAAAATCAGCAGGGGATCAAATACTTTTTTCCCTCACTGTATGTGGTGAGGAAGGGACGTTTTTTACTTGTCCGTCAAAGGCAATCACAATAACTCCCGTATTGCCACTGGATGACATATCAACGTTCAGGCTGAACGACCTGTTGATATACTCCATCATCACAGAGGATGATACCTCATCTTCTTCTGCACGTGAAGTACACAGTGATGACGTAACATCTAATGGTTCCCCCACCATTGACAAGCCGTCACCACCTGATGAAGACCTGTACAATACCGCTGAACCATATCCTGGTTTCCATACACAGGTACTACAGCTACTGACAGAAGCAGACACACTTGTCAATGACACTGAAAGACATCAGTTGCAGGACTTATTTAACAAACACAGAGAGATCTGGTCGACAGACTCGCTGGATTGCGGGGTTATGGGTATTCATGTTGCGTATTCCTACACCACCCGGAACAGCTCCTACGTTTGTGAGACAATACAAAATTCTGCTTGCAGCGTACTCGGCGGTACAAGAGATTATCGACTCCCTATTAGCTAAACAGATAATCAGGGAATGTAACAGTACGTACAGCGCTCCCGTGTGGCCTGTTTTGAAACCAACGGGTAAATGGCGTCTTACCATTGACTATAGACAACTCAACAAGCTGGTTCCGTTGTCTCTTTGGTCTATGACACAGCTCGACCAAGAGTTGCCAAAGGTGACAAACGCCAAATACTTCTCTACTGTCGACGTGACAAATGGTTTCTGGACCATGACAGACAACCCTCGCGACCAACACAAGTTGGCTTTCTCTTTCTCAAACAAACTCTTCACGTTCAACCGTTGCCCGTTCGAGTATTCGAACTACCCTGCAGAGTTCAACATCTTCCTGCACAAGGCAATGCCAGATGCAGCCACCAGGGGAACGATAATCTATGTGGATGATGTTCTCATGAGGAGCGAGACTTGGTCACATCACCTCAACGAGATGGACCACGTTCTTAACCAACTAGGAACGGCAGGGGCTAAGCTGGCTATCGTGAAAGGACAATTGTGCAGGACCAAGGTCAAATATGTTGGACTTCTGGTGGGTGCTGAGGGCATCCTGCCACAATCTAGCAGAATCCAAGCAGTCTGCAACATCAAAACGCCTGCAAACCTTCATGAAGTACGCAGCTTCTTGGGAGTATGTAATTACTCCCGTCAATTCATCGAAAATTATGCCAACTTGTCAAAACCTTTGACCCGTCTTCTTCAGAAAGACATCCCGTCAGTTTGGGATGCCACTCACAATGAAGCTGTGACTTCCTTTAAATACCTGCTTTGTGCGGCACACTGCCTGGTCTACCCCAACAAAGACAATATGTTATTTTTGGAAGTATGTTTCTCCCAGCACTGCCTTTGTGCTGGGTTGTACCAAAAATACGACCAAGCCAGACGTGTGGTTGCTTACGCAAGTAAAACACTCAACCCTGCTGAACACAAGTACTCAGACTGCGAAGAAGCACTGCTGTCGACAGTCTGGGCGGTCAAGCACTTCACCTCTTATGTCGGCGGACAAAAGGTGATCATAGAAACATGTCACCAGCCGGTGACTTTTCTGAAAAGCCAAAGAATTAATGAGGGTGCTGTACACAACAGCAGGATAGCGGCTTGGCTCATGATGCTGTAAAGCTGTGATGTGGTTGTCAACTACGCAAAAGTGAAAAACCTGCCTTTGGGTGGGGCTTTGGCGGTGTGTCAACGCTGCGGTGAAGAAGAAACCGACTTCGCACCAGCCCCATGTGACGTAGCTCCTCCGTTGCCATCGAACCAACACTACTTCAAAGACAACGTGTGTCTTGGCATGCCGATGGCATTTATAGATGGCTGTTCTTACCGTCAGCTAGACCACTTGCAAGCTGGTGTGGGATTGGTATGTCACAACGACATTCCATGCAAACCGCTTCAATTTCAGCTAGGCAACAAGACCAGCCAGTTCGCAGAAGTAGCTGGTGTACTTATCACACTGCAAACTGCGGTAAAACACGACTTGTCAGAACTGGCAATCTGCACCGACTCAAACTATGCCAGACTCACCTTCTTATGCCACTTGCCGTTTTGGAAACAAAAGCACATGACTACTTCAAATGGCAAAGAAGTGAAAAACAAAGAGCTCATTCTAGCTTGCGATGACCTCATAACCAAACACGACATACAGGTGTATTAGAAAAAAGTCAAGGGACACTCCAAAGCACCTGGGCGTGACAAACTTGGCAACGGCCATGCTGACAGCATGGCGAAATCTGGTGCAATTCACGGCACCCCTTGGGTGTGCGATGCTCGAGACGCAATGATCACCGAGGCGCCCATGGTGTCTGCAGTAACGCGTAGCCATGTAGCACCGTGGGAATCGTCTTCGCACGAACATAATGCGTTGCTAACTCATTCATTCTTGAATGGTGACCTGGTAGCAATGCAACACCAAGATGAATCCCTCACCACTTTCATGGCTTTCTTGTCTGAGCTGGCTTTGGCAGGCTCACACGACTTGCATTCGCTGTCCGCAACTAAACAGCACCTCGCACTTGTAGATTACCTACTGGTTTATGTTTCAGAAACTGACGCCACACAAAGGTGGGTGGTTCCTAAAACACAGAGGGGCATAATGATAGCTCATGCCCACGACGAGCCATGTGGGGGCCATAGGGGGGTCAAGGCTACATGTGAAACATTGCAACAGGTGGCACACTGGCCTCACATTGAACAAGAAATGGCAAAATACATGAGGGGGTGTCTAGTTTTCTGCCAGTTTCAACCCTCCAAGCCACTTCACAGAGCACCCTTGCAGCGCAAGGTCAGCAAGAGGCAACAAGTATCTCCTCACAGTGACTTGTGCATTCACAAAGTGGGTGGAGTGCCTGCTCGCACCCAATGACACAGCGGAAACCACGGCCGTTCTTTTGCTCAACTATGTTTTCAGTCGTTTCGGCCTGCCAGGAGAAACCGTGGACAGCGACAGAGAAACCCATTTTTCGGCTGCTGTAATGACCAAACTTTGGCGGCTTCTGGGAGTCAAAGCTAAACTCCACATCGCGTACCACCCTAGGAGCTCTGGCAGGGTAGTAAGGAGCAACCAAACAATCGTCACAATCTTGAGGAAATATGTGGCAACCAACCACAAAGATTGGAACCTCAAACTCCCACTTGTATTGATGGCGATCAGAGCCACACGCAACAGGTCTACGGGAATAACACCATTTGAGATGATGACGGGCCGGCAAATGACGCTTCCACTGCATCTCCTGTACCAACTGGGAGATGTCGCCACGGCCACCGCGTACATGGCCCATCAATACATGACGGACTTGCGAACCCACATCCAGACTACCTTTACGTACGCTCAAGGAAAGTTGGAAAGAAGTGCGGAAGGTGACAAGACCCATTACGGCAAAAAGGCCTCACATCAGGAGTTTGAGGTCGGGGATACGGTGTGGTACTACGTATACACCAAACCTGTGGGCGTTGCGAAAAAGTCCTGCTCCACTGAACAGGGCCACATGAGATTGTGTTAAAGCTGTCACCTGTTGGTTATCAAATTAGAATCAGCAAATGTCGACAGAACATTACTTTCAAGTTGGTCCACAAGGAACCAAATCAAGTTGTACACTCCCCCCATGGGAATAGAAGGGGTGCAAGCCAGCCCAGAATACATAGAAACCTAGCCAATCAGAGGTACTAACAAAATTCTTAAGTGTCCTCAGCTGATCCCTTCCAGGAGGGATCATCCCAGCTACAAGTCACACATTTCGTTGTCATTGTTGATATTGTCCTGTGTTGTGCTGTTCAAAATAAGAAAATCAGCTAAATTTGTTGTCAAAACGGTTTTCTTTCAACAACAAAAAAAAAACACAACTGAAATAATCAAACAATATCTCTAATTACGCGTTTTTGTAGGATGGAGTTCCTTTGGATGATCTTGACACTCTGCACCCTGGTCAAAACCAATCCAGCAGATGTACTCACGAGTGGACCCCCTACGGGAATTGTTCTCCGTGATGATCCAGGACTCCTTATAACCATCTGCAGAGTACACACGCCTAGATGCAGAGAACGTGTACCGCCAACACATTTCTCCTGCAGCACATATGAGTTGGGCCGGGGCTGACTGGACCAACCAGACAGTTAAGCACCCTCAGCTAAACACTGCCCACATGTTGGCCCAACTCCAAAAGTTCACAGTCACCCAGTCAGAACTAGCAGAGCCCAGGTGAGAAAAACGATTCCTCGGGCGCTATTCTCAATAGGTGCAGCCGTAAGGTCACTATTTGCTCTAGGTACCACTGCCGTCAACGCAGTCAGTCTAGCCACGGTCAAAAGAAATGTTAGGGAGATTTCTGAAGAGATGCCACTTATCCAGCAACAGATGCAATCACAGGCACTCAGGTTGCAGCATGTGGGAAGGTCTCTCCAGGACACTATTCTGGTGGTAAACACACATGCTACTCTCCTGAACAAAACCCTCGTATCGGTAGGCAAGCTAGTAGAGGTCATGAACCATGACTATGCCCATGTCCAATTGGTTCGATTGTTGTTGGAGGATTTTCTCAGTGAAGTTAGCTCTTTTATGGACCACTTGGCCATGAATAGAATCCCCTCATATCTAGTGCCCCTCTCAATTGTGCACAACATATTGACCTCAGCTACCACAACCATGATAAAGCCATTACAGTCACACCTGGCCTATAGTCTGGGGTCTGCAATTCCAATACACGTTGATGTTAATCCAAATGAAGTGGGATGTTTACTGACGCTGCCGGTTGCTGAACTGGAGAATATCTATAGGTTGAAAACAGTTCTAAATGTAGGATTTTGGCGCGACAACACCCATGTGAAAATCATCACACCACCAGTCATAGCTTATCAGGAACACAATCCAGATTTCTATCTCAACCCTAACCTGTTAATGTGTACTCTAACCAAAGACGTCCACTACTTGTGTCCTAGCAAACCCTTCGTCAGGGATAACAATGAGCGCCTTTGTGGCCTTAAGCCTATCACGAGCAAAGAACGCTCTAGAGCCAAACTAACAGCAAGCGGTGGAGTCATCACCACGCAAGTGGAAGTGGTAGGGAATCAATGGCTGATTAACACCCCATTCACGTCCGCTACTATAACTTACGAACGCCATGACTCAACCACTCAACTGAACCTCCCCAATCAGACAATTTTTGTTAAGGTACCAGAGGGGGCGATTATCCACATAGACGACTTAGCCCTATACCAACTTCCTGACGACAGGATAGACACAGATATTGAAATGCCTGACGCTTTTGCTAAATGTTCCCTTGAGTTACCACCAGCTATTCAAAACCAAATTAAGTATGAGGGACCGATGACTGTTGATCTTAGCGTACTGAATGAGGCACTTTTAGTTGACCCGATTGGATATAAGCCAAAATATTTGTCTGTCACACGCTCTTGGACGGTGCCAGACAGTATCCTGATTCTCTTACCAACAGGGTGGGGGTGGGGGGGGGGGGGGGGTCTTGACACCTTAATACTGCCATAAATTAGAGGAGGAGAATATATATCTGGCATTCTAGTATGGTGAAAGGAATGCCTTTGTTTCAGATACTTTTTGCTGCCCAAAAATAGTTATGCACGCTCAAGTTTTCAGTTTTTCTTGTTTATTTCACAATAAAAAACTATTTTGCATCTTCAAAGTGGTAGGCATGTTGTGTAAATCAAATGATACAAACCCCCACAAAATCAATTTTAATTCCAGGTTGTAAGGCAACAAAATAGGAAAAATGCCAAGGGTGTTGAATACTTTCGCAAGCCACTGTATATCAGGTTTACAGTGAGGGAAAAAAGTATTTGATCCCCTGCTGATTTTGTACGTTTGCCCACTGACAAAGACACGATCAGTCTATAATTTTAATGGTAGGTTTATTTGAACAGTGAGAGACAGAATAACCAAAAAAAAATCCAGAAAAACGCATGTCAAAAATGTTATGAATTGTTTTGCATTTTAACCCTCAGCAAAACATGACTTAGTACTTGGTGGCAAAACCCTTGTTGGCAATCACAGAGGTCAGACGTTTCTTGTAGTTGGCCACCAGGTTTGCACACATCTCAGGAGGGATTTTGTTCCACTCCTCTTTGCAGATCTTCTCCAAGTCATTAAGGTTTCGAGGCTGACGTTTGGCAACTCGAACCTTCAGCTCCCTCCACAGATTTTCTATGTGATTAAGGTCTGGAGACAGGCTAGGCAACTCCAAGACCTTAATGTGCTTCTTCTTGAGCCATTCCTTTGTTGCCTTGGCTGTGTGTTTTGTGTCATTGTCATGCTGGAATACCCATCCACGACCCATTTTCAATGCCCTGGCTGAGGGAAGGAGGTTCTCACCCAAGATTTGACAGTACATGGCCCCGTCTATCGTCCCTTTGATGCGGTGAAGTTGTCCTGTCCCCTTTGCAGAAAAATACCCCCAGAGCATAATGTTTCCACCTCCACGTTTGACGGTGGGGATGGTGTTCTTGGGGTCATAGGCAGCATTCCTCCTCCTCCAAACACGGCGAGTTGAGTTGATGCCAAAGAGCTCAATTTTGGTCTCATCTGACCACAACACTTTCACCCAGTTCTCCTCTGAATCATTCAGATGTTCATTGGCAAACTTCAGACGGCCCTGTATATGTGCTTTCTTGAGCAGGGGAACCTTGCGGGCGCTGCAGGATTTCAGTCCTTCACGGCATAGTGTGTTACCAAATGTTTTCTTGGTGACTATGGTCCCAGCTGCCTTGAGATCATTGACAAGATCCTCCCGTGTAGTTCTGGGCTGATTCCTCACCGTTCTCATGATCATTGCAACTCCACGAGGTGAGATCTTGCATGGAGCCCCAGGCCGAGGGAGATTGACAGGTCTTTTGTGTTTCTTCTATTTGCGAATAATCGCACCAACTGTTGTCACCTTCTCATCAAGCTGCTTGGTGATGGTCTTGTAGCCCATTCCATTTTTTTGTTGTTATTCTGTCTCTCACTGTTCAAATAAACCTACCATTAAAATTATAGACTGATCATTTCTTTGACAGTGGGCAAACGTACAAAATCAGCAGGGGATCAAATACTTTTTTCCCTCACTCTTTATCCCTTCACGTTGTGTAGAAAATATCAAGGAGGAAGACAATGTTTTTGTGAATAAATGAATGTGATTTTAGCTCTCTAACAAAATCATAGTGATGATAATACTTTTGCCTCGTAACTAGCCACACCCGAGGGAGCTCAGAGAGCGTGTCAGTATGACGGAAACGCCCCTCTTTACCAGAGTGCATAAAATATTGAGATAACAATGATCAGATCAGACTAGACGGACCTCAAGCTGCAGCTTTTGTCCATATTGGTCCCGACCCTGAAAATCAACACGAGGTGAAGACCACAAAGTTGCCTCCACTAACAATCAATGTTACGGCTGAGTAGCTGTTCTAAGTATTGTATCTAAGAAGGTGAATTTAAGTGAGACCATCCTGTTACTCTCTTCAAGCCATCGTCTACTACACTGCTCTCATCACCCCACAGGGGATCATCGACACAGCTGAATAGCCATCCTCAGAAGACCACTTCCAGAACGAGTGAAAGTAAACAGAAATCTAAGAAGAAGGACATTATGACCTCTTGTGGACAATCTGAGCCTTAAATCTAAAAGGCCATCCGAAAGAGAATGACCAATCGACCCCTTCCCATGAATGGTCCAACAGAGATACACGACGAAGACCTCCAACACGTAAATACATGCATTGCTTTTCTTCCCAAACGGGCCGCAGTTCGGGGCAAAGTATTAGGATTACTGTGAGCGTAGGTCCATGTGTATCCAAGTGTTTTTTCTCTCTCTCTCTCTCCCTCTCTTTCTCTCTCTCTTTAACTCGCCATCTTTTGTAACAAGTGTCTTATTGTGTTAGTCCGCTAGCGACCAGTTTTCATTGTATTAAGTTTCTAATCCCTACCTGTACCGTGTACGTGTTTTTATCTTGTGTTATCATTTTTAATTAGTTAGTAAATAAAAAATTAAATCAATTTGTGTGGTATAGAATGATCAGTAAGACCCGGGTTCGTGCAGACTTAAAGAGCCTACAACTTTCAGAATGAGACTGATATGAGGTAAATGATTAATAAATGACTGATAAATGATAAGAGATATCTAGATATCTTTAGAGTTAATTTAGAGAAACGGTAACTCGTTAAACAACTTTTCCCGTGGTGCCCCAAATTCCTAATGAGTTCATTGTTACATGATTAATTTAATCTAGTAACAATTAAACATAGTAGGTAATTATTCGATAAATAATAGTCATCACAATAATGAAAGTCACGTTACGACAGTAGTTACATAGGTTTTACTATGTAATTACATGGTAAAAGGGTTGTTTGTGGAGTCAGTTATTACACAATTGGAACAAGGAATGTGTAATTACACATTCACTTGCTGAAGGTTATTCCACATCTGTAACTACTGATGTTATTATATATTATCTTATTCCACTATGTAACTAATGTTTTGTAATTACTAATTTGAAAGTCACCTGTGAATTACCCTGTTAACAACTCAAACCAAAATATCACCTTGATACCTTGTGTTGAAGCCACATGTAATACCACGGTTGATAAATTGGCTAGGACCAGGTAATAACAATTGTAACAAAGGCACACCCTGCCATTAACTCCAGGTCATTTTCAATCAGTTTATTTCTACGTTATGACCTGGCTCAAAGGCTATACTGAATCAAGTGTAATGTAAGAACAATGTAGTTACATAGGATATACTTGTAATTATCATGTACCTAGCCAGGAGAAAGCAACGTAATGTATATGTGGAAGTGCGACATCGGCGGATGCGGCGGATTGAGACGCATCCAATGCTAGATATCTCTAGACCATCTGTCTCAAGGCCCTTATTGAATTTGTCTTCAGACCATGACCAACTCAACCCGTCTAGGCACAAAGGTGAGTCCAAGGTCCACAAACCAATTAAAATATAATTGACTGGATCATTTGTTATTTTGTCAATCAATACTGAAAACACTGTGGTTGGATGTAATTTGTACAAAATACCTAACGGTAATATAATAGTTTTTCTGTGCTTTTTTATTCATAATCATCACTATAGGACAATCACAATAACCCAACACCCTCCTCCCCCCCCCCCCTCCCTTTAGAAACAGCAAAATGAAGAAGAAGAAGAAGAAGAAGAAGAAGAAGAAGAAGAAGAAGAAGAAGAAGAAGAAGAAGAAGAAGAAGAAGAAGAAGAAGAAGAAGAAGAAGAAGAAGAAGCATTACAAAATCCACCCTTGGAAGAAAAATCAACAGAAAAATGTACAAGACATACAGGTCAAATCATTCCATTCCCATAGACTAACCTATCCACGAGATCTGACATATCTAAAAAATATATGTATGTACACACTCTGCTGTAGACATGCAAACCCCTTACTTAGCCCTACACAATGTCATTTTATGGCGTCTGTGACCACTCTCTACTCACTGGAGTTATAACTGGTTTATGACCTGACTTTATAACTGATATTAACTGTCTTGGAGACTTCACTATGTCATGTTGCGTCTCAAAGAACTGAGCTGACACAGGTTGGTATGAAGCTGCTAATAATGAATGGCTATGAATGCCAGTATGTTGTCTTTCGGTCTTATGTACTTATTTGTGGACAACGTCACAGTGATGGTGAACTTGCATTGCATACAGTATGTCTCTGAAGATATTGAGGGGGTGAAATTGAAAAGGGTACTTCATCTGTGTTTGTCTCTTCCCAATGACTACCACAACAAAGACTAACATTGCAAAACTAGTGAAGCTGAAACGGGAAAAGAACCATGCACTTGCAAGTGTGGATGTTGCAACCCTAATGGCCCCCTTCGAAGATGGAGGCAGTCTGCTATGTGCTTTGCCGAAAGGTGATTGAAGTGGCATTTTGGATACGTGAGAGTTCCAGCTTGTAGTCTCGACAATGCCAGTCTCCATTGTCTTTGACAGGTGTCCTTGGAAGTTCTCTGACTGCAAACACATGCACACACAAACGTACATACGTAGACACACGCACAAACACTATCAAATTCTCTCTCTCAAACTAACACAAACTATCTAATGTACACACGCACACACACAGACACACACACTAGAAGCATCAGCAACTCTCACTGTCCACCTCTGTCTTAACACTTGGTCCAAAAGCCACCAGCCTTTAGTGCAGGCTTCAGCAAATGTTTACAGAGAGGAAGTCCTGCCAAAGTCCTGCCGAAGGTCCCCAACACATCATACTCCTACTCTTCCTCCTCATCATCATCATCGGGCAGTGGTAGGATCTCTTCCTTGAGACACTCCCTGTAGAAGTTGGTGAGCGACGCGAAGAGGTGCTGCCGACTCCGCTGGGACAGGAAATGACCCTCATCTGGATAGAGCTAGAACCCCATGACATAAGCACAACATGAGTACAACATAAACACAACATGACCACAACATGTGCACAGCAGCATTGGTGAAAAGCGTTTAATCCTATTTCTTTATACCACTACTGTATGGATGTGTGTAATTACTCTCTTTTCATCACAGTAGCTGGAGGTACACTATGGTTAAGGTACTATATACACTGCAGTAACATACTGTACATAGGGTAGGGCACCTCAGTTTTGTTTTTGCTAGTATACATTCAAAGCAACCATAGCTTGAGTATGCTTATGGCTTCATGTACCTAGTGTACCTGCACACTATACAGTACCTGTATACTACAGTACAGTGTGCAATTACTTTCTCCATACCTGCATTGAGTAGTTTGCTCCAACTTTCACAAGGTTCTTGATGAGCTCAGCAGTATGCTGAAAGTGTACATTGGCTGAAAGAGGCAGAAGAAGAAAAAAAAAAATGTTAGCAGAATTCTCCTTGAATCGTCACAGGGAAGAGAGGCAAGATCACATTCTAACATAAAACATGACAGGGTGGAGATGAAATTACCTTATATAAGTTGGTCTAACTTGAAACATTTGAGATTTATTGTGGCAAATCCAATCTCTGTACAATGGAAATGGCCCAATTCTTGACTATGTTTCATGTATTATATGTCCCATATATTATTTCAATAACTCATATTTAATAAATCAGTCATTTTTGTTACAGGTTCTTCGGTTGTGGTAGTTTTTGTAATTGTCAGGTTATTGCTGTTTTATGTGCCGTCTGGCAAGAAGCACACTGTAGATTGGTCATACAAAGTAAAGAATAACACAACAGCTACAAAACTGACCCCAGATCAATGCTGAGGTCTTTTTCGTGGTTTCTGTTAGTTAGTCACTCACCATCTGCTGTGCCGTGCACAAGCATCAGAGTCTGTTCCCTCAGTGGCTGGACGTTCTGCAACACACTGGAGAACTGCAACAGAGCCATCCATAGAAGCGTTATGAGTCATAAAAATAGTTTGCTGGCATATTGTTAGAAGGGAAGGTCAAGAGGAATTCCTAGTGAGAGTGTATTGGTACAGACGGTACTTTCTTACTGAGGTATGGATACTGTCATTGGCGGCACGTGATTTTCTAGTTTGGGGAAGCTAATTGTCACCATAAAAATGCAACTTTATAATAAAGCATTCCGTGCATCATCTCATTTTCAGACTTATGTAAGATAGCCTACTATTCCTAATGTGATGAGTAGATTGGATATTCATTATTTAGGCTAATAATATAACTCAATCACTGGTCGCAAAAAAGACTGTTCAATGCATGGCTGAGCACGTAGTGGCACAGAGTAGGCCTAGGCTATAGGCTATATCAGATACGTTTCTTGTCCTTTCTTTGCACAGGAAATAATTCTGCTATATGACTGGAGATATAAGAATAATCTTTTTTAATACAATAAAAACTACAGGGTAGCCTACTCTGCTGACACTGACAAACAGATCAATAAAAACAACATTGTCTGATCCATATAATAGGCCTACGAAAAGGGGAAACACAAATACAATATGATGTCCATCTAACCTGGAGGAGGAAATAATTGTCCAAAAATAAACTTTCAAGTGGCACTGACCCAACAATGATAAAGAGTGAATATGCGCACTCACTGTGGACATGGCCAATGCTCTCCGCTGCCAATAAGATGGGCTATACTGTTTGCTCAAGTTGAATATTTTGATAATTAAAAGACAGATTATAGTTTTTTCATTGTCTTCTCTTTATAGCAATAGCCATTTGCTTTCAAACTATGTTTTTCCGCGATTGTATTTTGAAATATTGCGATATGCCTGGCTGGGCCTCTACTTTTCACTGACAGTCGCAACTCAACAATCATCTATTTGGTAGGCTATTTGCCTCACACGCTGCCCGGGCCCTTCCGACTGTAGGCAATGGGATTTTAAACAATCCACAGCTTCTCTTTTTTTGGGGGGAGGGAAGCTAACGATTCTGTGTGGTCAAATCATGCTTTCTGGGGTAGTAGCCTATTTTAAATTATTTTATCTATTTCTGTATAGACAGGAGTAGGCTAATTAGGCTATATAATTTTGGCAATTTAATCAAATTTACTTTAGGGGAAGCTAAGCCTTATGGACACTCCACCTATGTATACTGTGATAACAAATATTCCTAATGGTTGTGACTGTTATGTAAGTTAGATTGAGGGTTATCGTGCACAATCTGCAATTAAGTTAGCTCTCTGTGCAAATGCAGGCACTCATAAATAAACAGCTTGATTTATCTGACAGGCACTGTTATTGAATTAATTGATATCAGGCATAAAATGATGAACGATCACTCCATTGCACATTATAATAACACATGTATATAAAGTTAATAAGCCATAACAGTATGAACTGTGTCTTTTAACATTAGGTGTCACCTTCATAAACATTGCCTTTTTTTGTCTGTATACCAAGTTAGTTTATTTATTTTGTCTAGAAGTCATGTCAGTGGAACAGCAGTTCTCGGGATTTTACCTGCTGCAGTTCCATCTCTCTCATCAGTGTAACTGAACCAGCTGTTTGACAGCGGCAGATCCACACCGCGGGGGTGTCTGGGAAAGCCAGACGTCCCCTTTCAGCAGCTCATCAAAACATGAACGCAGTGCAATCTAACAAGTTAATGCGCCACAGTTACCGTGGAGATGAGTGACAATGTCTCTGCGCTCTGGAAGCATCAAAAAAAGGAAAGGGGAAAACATTTCTGATGGTAGCGACACTCAGTAACTGCGGGAGCTTAACCGCAGGCATGTCAGCAATGCTATGGCGAGACGGCTTTCAAAGAGCTAAACAAGATTGACGGCAAACAAGTGGAGGGAGGCGGTAAGCAGACGCACCTGATATCTGCTGTCGTCGCGTAATGGCATGCCAAGGTACCTCTCGGAAAACGCTGATGCTGTTTAAATAGAAAGCGATACATTCCAAACAGGGCGGCAGGTACAGACAGTGCTTCAGTGCTTCAGGTGCATCTAAGTGGTACTTTTGCCAATGCTATACAAAATGTGATCTCTGTACACTGAACAAAAATATAAACCAACATGTGAAGTGTTGGTCCAATGTTTCATGAGCTGAAATAAAATATCCCAGACATTTTCCATATGCACAAAATGCTTATTTCTCTCAAATTTTGTGCACACAGTTGTTTACATCCCTGTTAGTGAGCATTTCTCCTTTGCCAAGATAATCCATCCACCTGACAGGTGTAGCACATCAAGAAGCTGCTTAAACAGCATGATCATTACACCTGGTGTTGGGGACAATAAAAGGCCACTCTAAAATGTGCAGTTTTGTCACACAACACAATACCACAGATGTCTCAAGTTTTGAGTGAGCGTGCAATTGGCATGCTGACTGCAGGTATTGTCCACCAGAGCTGTTACCAGATAATTAAATGTTCATTTTTTTTACCAATGTCGTTTTAGAGAATTTGGCAGTACATCCAACCAGCCTCAAAACCGCAGACCACATGTAACCACGTCAGCCCAGGACCTCTACATCTGGCTTCTTCACCTGCGGGATCGTCTGAGACCAGCCACCCAGACAACTGATGGAACTGTGGGTATGGACAACCGAATAATTTCTGCACAAACTGTCAGAAACCGTCTCAGGGAAGCTCATCTGCGTGCTTGTCGTCCTCACCAGGGTCTTGACCTGACTGCAGTTCGGCATCGTAACTGACTTCAGTGGGCAAATGCTCACCTTCGATGGCCACTGGCACACTGGAGATGTGTGCTCTTCATGGATGAATCCCTGTTTCAATTGTACCGGGCAGATGGCAGACAGCGTGTTTGGAGTCGTGTGGGTGAGCGGTTTGCTGATGTCAATGTTGTGAACAGAGTGCCCCATGGTGGCCGTGGGGTTATGGTATGGGCAGGCATAAGCAAAGGACAACGAACACAATTGCATTTTATCAATGTCAATTTCAATGCACAGAGATACCGTGACGAAATCCTGAGGCCCATTGTCGTGCCATTCATCCGCCGCCATTATCCTCATGTTTCAGCATGATAATGCACGGCCCCATGTCGCAAGGATCTGTACACAATTCCTGGAAGCAAAACATTTTCCAGTTCTTCCATGGCCTGCATACTCACCAGACATGTCACCCATTAAGCATGTTTGGGATGCTCTGGATCGACGTGTACGACAGCGTGTTCCAGTTCCCGCCAATTTCCAGCAACTTCGCACAGCCATTGAAGAGGAGTGGACAACATTCCACAGGCCACAATCAACAGCCTTATCAACTCTATGCGAATGAGATGTGTCGTGCTGCAAGAGGCAAATGGTGGTCATACCAGATACTGACTGGTTTTCTGATCCACTTCCCTACTTTTTTTTAAGGTATATGTGACAAACAGATACATATCTGTATTCCCAGTCACTGATTTCCTTATATGAGCTGTAACTCAGTAAAAGCTTTGAAATTGTTGCATGTGGCGTTTATATTCTTGTTCAATGTAAATGCTTTCACATTGGAGAAAAATTGCTTGGTTTTTAAGACATCAACGTGCACAAGTAGCCAGTGAGTTCTTATGATACTGGAATCTCTATGGTTCAATCTTCAGTCATTTGGTCTCTCTGTGTGACTCAGGTGTTGCAATGTATCGTGTTAATATACAATTTCAACAGTATCCAATTCCTTATTGAGGAATGTTTTACAAATAGGACTATCTCCTACATAAATGGTGCCCCATGTGAGGAGAATCACCTACATAAATGGTGCCCCATGTGAAGAGAATACCCTACTTAGGTGTCAACCCTTCAGTCACCTCTCCTTTCCTTTCCTACCCCTCTATACATCCTTGAAGTGTAATATCTGGAATCAGTCAATAGAATGTCGGGACATTGGGATTTCCAAACTTCTACTCACCATATAGTTTCCAGTCTGTAACTGGGGACATTGCTACTGAACATTTGAACAGGCTGTCGGTTGATTTGAGCATCATTAATGTAATATAGGCACCATAACCCTGGAAAACAAACAAAACAACAAGAAACAAACAAGTTAAAAAAAATCTGTTTCTGAACAATACACAGAATCAGGACCGTTTTATCATTTTGAAATCAATAAAAAAACATGTCAACTTTTAAATCCTGGGGAACAGCAAACAAATAAAGTGAAATATGTTGAGTATGTTTCTCCTAAAGTCATTAAACCTGTGAGACCCATGGTTGCAAAAATGCACGCTGCCTAAATTTCATTCTGTAAAGGTCATAAACAAAAAAATCATGTTAAACACTACATAGTGCATCTCCTTAGACCCAAATGTATATCTTAGTAGTATTTGTTTTGTGTCAGTATTATTATTGTGGCATCAGTAGGCCCTGAAACATTAGAAACCTGTCCACTCGTCTAAGACCACACTGGTCCCCTACACACGCATATGTTAGTAGCCATCCATGCAAGTACATGACTTGAAAAAAAATATCCTGTGTTCTCAAAAAAAAATAAATGTTTTTATGAATCAAACATTCTGAGCCAGAGCTAGAGGTAGTTTTGTAAGTGTTGCAAAAACACATAATTGGGCTTAAAGTGTTGCAACACTGAGACATAGGGCCACATTCATATGTTGATAGACAAGTAAGAGAGATTATTTCCCTTTCAAATAATGCAAACATGGACAAACAAATACATCAGGAGTAACATTGATGTGCCCTCTACACATCAAAGAACAAAAATGTATATATAAAATAAAAATAAAGTGGTTTATGAGGTCAGAATACTGCCATTGACGACCATTCATATTATGGTAAAGAAGTAAGATAGGTTATCTCTCCAAGTTAAACCAGAAAGGAGAACCAAATATTAGATGTTCTCCATACATAGAAACCCCACTAAATAGTTGATCCTTGAAAAAATATATGTTTTTGATAGCAAAATACTACAATTTGGATAGATCAATTTGTGACCAGATTCAGGATCTTAGGCGTTTGACGTTATTTCCTACTTCACAGTAGGGCTGTTTGAAAATGTAATTTGCCTTAATTAAAAATGTGTATGGGATCTGTAAATATTAATTAAATACATTATGAGTTTAGCCAAGGAGAAAGCCCTGAGCTCTGTAGGGAGAAAGGCAGGATCCATGATTGGCTGAGACAATGGAGGGAGATAATAGACTACTTTTTGGAGGACAATGCCATGCTCACTCACACGTTTACATGTGAATTCTTAAAGAAATGGGTGGGGCTAAGGCTTAAGAGGGTGTGAATTATGCTGAATGGGTGTAAACAAAGAATAGCTCTCTAGAAAGTGTGAAAATCATTCAAGGTCATTTATCTGTCTCCAAAGTGGGATAACACGTTTATCAAATTTAAAAGAAGCATAACTTTCCCATGTTTCCCCCAACTAGAGTGTGTGATATACAAGTTTGAAGCTCTGAGTGTGTACTTTTATAAAATGTAAAATCTGTCACATTCAGTCAAATTGTGCTATTCCAGACAAAATTTGACTTAATTTCAGATGTACTGCATATACCATAAAACTATATATTCCATCACTTTGTAATTTTTATAGAATTTCAAAGTTTTCTTAGCACACATTTTCCTACCATTGAAGCCCAATGGAGCATTTTTGCAATGTTTCAATAAAATTGTTCTACAAACTTGAAATAAAAAAAAGGATTATTTTCATAATAAGTGGCCTTTTAGAAGTATGAGAGATTCTGGCAATAGATTCTTACCCTCCCAAATACTCCTATCCGTGTCCGATCAATGTACGGGAATGTCAACATGTATCTGAAATAAACAATATTGAGGAGAGGCCCAAGTTACAAAGCATGATATCACTCATAGAATACAGAAATATGAATACACTTCCCAAATATTGTTTAAGGTTGTTTGACAAATTCAGCTAAATAGAAAACGTGAGCAGATTGTTTAATTAGCATGTATTCTAAGGCTAATGACTTATTGTTATAGCTAGAGTTAAAACTACATTAGATTTAATGGGATCAAACTAGTACATACTCTACAGCTGTTATTTGATCCTGCACCTCTACGGTTCCCAAACGCTGGTGGACTTCATATAGAACCCTCTGGCCCAGGAAGCCACTCCCTCTGCCGTCCAGACGAGCCACGATGACGTTATCCGAGCTGACCAGAACCGAGTCCCAGTCCAGAACGAATCGGTCGCTCACTGCCTGGCCACCGGGGGAGCCATCGCTGAAAGAATAAATATAAATGTTAGAATTAAACAGCGTTGACACTTAGGACAGTCTCATTGGTTGAGGCTATCCTAATACGGGCACTGTAACGACAGTCTGGCTCTCACGCGATGGGGTTAATATCAATCATAATTGATAGGGAATACATAGATAAAAACACTTCAAACAAATGAATAGTGAGCACAGATACTGATGGAGATACGTACACTATCAATAGCAAGCCATAGTGACGCGATTCAGAAAAGTCTGGTGGGTAAGAGATCTTCAAAGGCAGATCTGAGCAGAGAAAGTAGCCATTAGCAACAACCTTAGAATAATAGCTATAGAAACTGACAGAACAAATTTGTCATTAGCCAAAATGATTGGTCTTACCAAAATGTTCCATCTGGATTGTTCTGAAATCCGTGATCTGAATCCTCTTGACCTTTAAAGCTGCCTTCAGTAAAGAGTTGTTCTCAAGTATGTAATAATCTAATAGGGGGGACAAGGTTGCATTAGTTTTAGAAGTGTTCACCATGTGGGCCACTTATCCTAGCAAGATGCAAGTGGAATTATATTAGACTTATATAAAGCATAAAGACTTCTCTTTCAAGCCTGAAATGAAATAAAAATAAACTTCAAGGCTTTCCGGCACACTTTTTAATTAGAATTTTAGTGGAGAGTTGAACACTGTCCTTGATAACCAACCAAGTGCCAATTGTTTGGCCCTTACAACAAGCCTTTGAATGGCGCATAAGACCAGATACATTGTATTTTCCAATCCAGAATAAGATGTTTGTTGGTCTACCATAAAGACATGACTGTGGTATCATCAAAACACACAAACACTGATGCCAGATGGGAATTATTTTGAACTCAACGTTGTACTTCAACTAATGTAGCCTGGGAGGGGCTGCCTGCATCTGAGTTTGACCACTGTAACATAATCAGTGTCTGCTGCATACGATTGAGTAGGTGTGCTATTGAGCTTGCCACAGCTGGCAGCGCAAATAACAGACTCACTGGCATGCAGAATGTTTTCCTTTCTCCAAAGACATCTCATGTTTACCAACAACTGCTTGTCAATGGTGGTTTTTAAAAGAAGCCCCCCTGCCATTTTCTCCACATGCAACTACAAAATGAATGCCTATTGTATCCTTCATTTCAGCCATCTGAGAGGAAACTGAATGGAAAAGAATTCATCCAGTATTTTCAATAGAAACCCCAAATCAATAGGCATCTCATTATGAAACTGCCAAAGCCCTGAAGTTCTCAGCTGTGGATTGGAAGGTCTGTCCAAATAACCCTGGGCAAATTGATTGCATTTTTTCCACTGCAGCTGTTAACATTCAAGACAAAACATTGACAGATATCCAGACATGGACAGCGTAAATGAAAATAAGGAAATTAAGACAGCAGGGGGTCGATTCGCATCAGAGACAACGAGGGTACCAGTGAGAGGGGGGCTGGTATTTTCGACAGCAAATCTTCAATATTTGAACAAAGTGAGCAATAGCTTATTTTTTATTTATTTTTACAACACTTGTTGGTTCTGGCAAAACACCAACGTTCCGAGTTATCTCGCTAACTCCTTTAAGCAGTTTATGACATGCCCATCCGTTAAGAGAGATTAAGTTGACATCTTACTGGCATTATTGAGGCTGTGTAAGATCACAGTGGGTGCTCCGGGACCTGCGAGAAAAAAATAAAGGATTAAAAGATTTGAAATCGGTATCCTCAAATCCTTTGAATGGCTGAAGATGTACAATTTGGTGTGACATGAGTCGACAATTTAAGCTTAATTCACAAAATACCCGTTTCCGCCAAGCAATACACATTAGAGGAGTAAGACATACAAATGCATCCTATCTGTACATAGAGAGTTACAAAAATAGCACGTCTCAAGGAGTGTAGCATAGTCACAAATACAATACAGCAGCCTTTCCAATCCCCTAGCTGCTGTCACAACCACTGTCACCACTGTTACCTCCCCTTCTTTACCTATTACAGTCAGTGGTTAAAGGTCATTCAAACTGCTTCTAATAACCCAGGCCTTTCAAATTAAGTCAATTATATTCTGCGCCCATTGGAAGACACCCAATCTGAGGTTAATAAGATACAGCGGATACCTCAGCGTCCCAACCCTCCACAAATCACTCCTACAGCACCTATCAGATCTGTTCACTCAGGCTAGGCCTTCCATTTGAATAATACTAGCCGAGGTAATGGTGATTTAACAGCCACACACTGTTGCCAGGAATGGTAAACATATGTGGCTATTAAAGCCCAACACGGATCAATGAAGAGGAAGCATAGTTTCATTTTCACCACTTAGAGCGAGTTTAATCATGCCTTACATGGTTGTTGTTTTTATTAGAAAAGATAATAAGAGATCATTCACAACAATGCAGCATTAAAACATTTGAGGAGCACTGGCTCTCAAGGATATTGCAAACTCAGCAAATGAAAAGGGCTGCCGTTATGGCACTTGTGTCACACAGAGAAATGGTTTTGAATCTGTGTACCTGCTCGACAATGGTAATGATATCCATTGCGTTTAATGGAGGGAATTAACTAGCTTTAATACATTTAATGAGGAGAGTGGTCATGACAAGCTGCTTGGTTTTTATTGAATTTAGCCTTATCCTCAGATGATGTGCTGACTGCATTGTGTTTATAGCTCACAAACAGGATGGTACATTTTGTCCATTAACTCATAGTACACAAGACAAACGCACCCAAGCATACAGTAAGCACATTTGGTTAAAACAAACCCAAACAATAAACAACCGTGGTGGCAATAAACTCCTTTTAATGCGCTACGCATGGCACGATAACACCACCTAAAGCAATTATACACAACAGAGCGGCACATTTTATTTTATGCTCCTTATTTGGAATTGTTTGATAGTCTTTCTACACTAAATGTTCAATAATGACAGATTGCCAAAGGCAAACTCCTGACATCTGTCAAATGGGTTGTGACTCACAGGGCCAATGACACAAAATCGTTGACTAAATTGGAACTATACACTGAGTGTACAAAACATTGCTCTTTCCATGACATAGAATGACCAGGTGAATCCAGGTGAAAGCTACTGTATGATCCCTTATTGATGCCACATGTTAAATCCACTTCAATCAGTGTAGATGAAGGGGAGGAGAAATGTTAAAGAAGGATTTTTAAGCCTTGAGACAATTGATACATGGATTGTGTATGTGTGCTATTCAGAGGGTGAATGGGCAAGACAAAATATTTAAGTGCCTTTGAACGGGGTATGGTAGTATGTGCCAGGCGCACCAGTTGAAGTGTGTCAAGAACTGCAACGCTACTGGGTTTTTCACACTCAACAGTTTCCTGTGTATCAAGAATGGTCCACCACCCAAAGCACTTCCAGCCAACTTGACACAACTGTGGGAAGCATTGTAGTCAACATGGGCCAGCACCCCTGTGGAACTCTTTCGACACTTTGTAGAGTCCATGCCTCAATGAATTGAGGCTGTTCGGATGGCGAAAGGGCCTGCAACTCAATATTAGGAAGGTGTTTCTCAAGTTAGTTTTCATATTATTTCATATTAGACACTTCATCACAACAAGATAATTTACTCTACACGCACAAATAAGAGATAATTCCCAGCACACATTGCAAGAACTCCCCCTGGCAATGACATGTGTCTCTGGCCTTTTAAAGAAAAGGTTCACCCATTTTGAATGTTATATTGTTTTTGTGCATTCCTGAGTGATGTTTTATCGATTTCCTGTGTCATTCCATGTTTTTATGTGTATCTGAGTTATTGGCATTCAAGCAGGCAGAAATCCGGCCGGTATGACGTAGCACTGTGATGAAGTCGCTCTCACTACACTGGAAGTTAATAGGAATAAGATTTTAGATGGCGAAAACGTATATCATACACATGTCAAATTTCCATACTGGCCGAGTCATAAGTCGGGAGGATGTTTTCTCTCGAATGAGCCATTGATCATATTTCTGTGATATTCCTACCTCGAGAAATGTTTCATTTAACGGAGGGTCTAGCACATTTTTCCTATTTGTCTGCCTCTTTAGTCCAGGGTGCAATGCATGGTGCCGTTGCCAGATATATAATAGAAAGGAAATAGGAATCCAATGGATGAAGGAACACATAACTCCCCACCCAGCAGACTGTCGACCAATCGTGTTCACGTTGCTAAACTAATCGTCACGCAATCCCTTCTCAAAGTCAGTGTAGATGTTGAGAAAGGTGCCTATTTTCCCCGAAAGTACGTAATGTCACGATTCCAAAGCTATATGATATTACAGATAGGAAGTTAATTATCTCACATCTCTGAAATTATTTGTAATGTTGCACTTCTTGTTGACATAATTTGTGCAAATGAAACATTTGTTCACAAAAATGAGTGTTATTTAACACTGTAAATTAAAGGAATGAGTAGTTTTGGGTGGAGTTTTCCTTTAAGAGAACAACAGTTTAACACTTTTGACAAAGTCATACCTTAATGAAATGGAAAAACATTTGCATAAATAACTATTGCTCCTAGCACAGTTTGTTGGATGGAGTGCTGAATATGCTTTGTCACTATATACAGTATATATAATATACAGTGGGGGAAAAAAGTATTTAGTCAGCCACCAATTGTGCAAGTTCTCCCACTTAAAAAGATGAGAGAGGCCTGTAATTTTCATCATAGGTACACGTCAACAATGACAGACAAAATGAGAAAAAAGATTCCAGAAAATCACATTGTAGGATTTTTAATGAATTTATTTGCAAATTATGGTGGAAAATAAGTATTTGGTCAATAACAAAAGTTTCTCAATACTTTGTTATATACCCTTTGTTGGCAATGACACAGGTCAAACGTTTTCTGTAAGTCTTCACAAGGTTTTCACACACTGTTGCTGGTATTTTGGCCCATTCCTCCATGCAGATCTCCTCTAGAGCAGTGATGTTTTGGGGCTGTCGCTGGGCAACACGGACTTTCAACTCCCTCCAAAGATTTTCTATGGGGTTGAGATCTGGAGACTGGCTAGGCCACTCCAGGACCTTGAAATGCTTCTTACGAAGCCACTCCTTCATTGCCCGGGCGGTGTGTTTGGGATCATTGTCATGCTGAAAGACCCAGCCACGTTTCATCTTCAATGCCCTTGCTGATGGAAGGAGGTTTTCACTCAAAATCTCACGATACATGGCCCCATTCATTCTTTCCTTTACACGGATCAGTCGTCCTGGTCCCTTTGCAGAAAAACAGCCCCAAAGCATGATGTTTCCACTCCCATGCTTCACAGTAGGTATGGTGTTCTTTGGATGCAACTCAGCATTCTTTGTCCTCCAAACACGACGAGTTGAGTTTTTACCAAAAAGTTATATTTTGGTTTCATCTGACCATATGACATTCTCCCAATCCTCTTCTGGATCATCCAAATGCACTCTAGCAAACTTCAGATGGGCCTGGACATGTACTGGCTTAAGCAGGGGGACACGTCTGGCACTGCAGGATTTGAGTTCCTGGCGGCGTAGTATGTTACTGATGGTAGGCTTTGTTACTTTGGTCCCAGCTCTCTGCAGGTCATTCACTAGGCCCCCCTGTGTGGTTCTGGGATTTTTGCTCACCGTTCTTGTGATCATTTTGACCCCACGGGGTGAGATCTTGCGTGGAGCCCCAGATCGAGGGAGATTATCAGTGGTCTTGTATGTCTTCCATTTCCTAATAATTGCTCCCACAGTTGATTTCTTCAAACCAAGCTGCTTACCTATTGCAGATTCAGTCTTCCCAGCCTGGTGCAGGTCTACAATTTTGTTTCTGGTGTCCTTTGACAGCTCTTTGGTCTTGGCCATGGTGGAGTTTGGAGTGTGACTGTTTGAGGTTGTGGACAGGTGTCTTTTATACTGATAACAAGTTCAAACAGGTGCCATTAATACAGGTAACGAGTGGAGGACAGAGGAGCCTCTTAAAGAAGAAGTTACAGGTCTGTGAGAGCCAGAAATCTTGCTTGTTTGTAGGTGACCAAATACTTATTTTCCACCATAATTTGCAAGTAAATTCATAAAAAATCCTACAATGTGATTTTCTGGATTTTTTTCCCTCAATTTGTCTGTCATAGTTGACGTGTACCTATGATGAAAATTACAGGCCTCTCTCATCTTTTTAAGTGGGAGAACTTGCACAATTGGTGGCTGACTAAATACTTTTTTTTCCCCACTGTATATCCCTAGTATAAAATGACATACTGGTTGTGTCTCTAACATATCTCTTCAGTGTATGATTAGGAGCCGGTTATGTTATCTTTTAGCATTACTATCCTTATATCAAAATGGTTTTTGTTGGATTGGCTATTCTATGACAGCATATGATATACCTTACAGGGAAATAGTGAGCAGTTAGAGGGAATGATGTACTTTGGCTGGATCTTATAATTTATCTTAGATGTACTGTATCTCTGATCATGAATCTAAGTCTAAGCGGATGATGCATTGGTTGGGTTTAACAAATGGCCTAGCAGGCATACCTTCACAGTTTAGAATAATGAATGGCTGGTTGAAATTGGTCCCTAATGTCTTTAAATTACCTCTCAAAGAAAGTTGATGCTTTGGTTTTCTAAACTCTATCAATATGTATCTGGCTTCAACAATGACAGATGAGGGGTGCTAGCATGTATATCAATATTAGCCTTCAGAATGATGCACTGCTTGTGTTAGAATTTAGCTTAGCTGACTAACTTTTACAGTGTAAAATGACATGTTTACTTTGCATTGGCCTGCTAGTGCTATCTTGGTGGTAGAGAGTGGAATCCAATGCACTGAGTTAGCATTTAGCTAACTCAGCATTTAGCTTGGCTAGCTTACCTTTACAGTGGAGGATGATATGCTGATCACTGGGGCTTATCTCAGCATTGAAGAACAGACAGTGGGCCTTATTTAGCTCACACGTCAGACAGTGTCGAGGGAACAACCCCACAGTCTTCACACTGAAAGGAAGGGGAAGACGGAAGATTAGGCGACCGTTTTAACATCCACTGCAAACCCTAAAGAACAGGCCTATAGAGTATCTAGCACCTGTGGTGTTTGCAGTTGGCACATTATATTTACACTCTACAGAAATGAGGAGACAAGCAATGTTGAGGTTGGGAGTTTCACGTCATTGGTTCACCTGAAAGCATTTTAAATGTAATTAAGCTGATTCTGCCTTATCAAAAGAGCAGCTGAATTTGGAAATGGTTTGTTGAAATTTTGTATTATCATAACCTAATTTGCCTGTGCAACCTCCATACTCTTTATAAGACAAGTATCATCCAGTGTACACAATCTTACATCAGTGTCTCTATATTTCTGTAAGCACAAAACCTCAGATGTGTACTGTTGTTATGAACTGTTCTTCACAGAAGGAAAATGACAGGAGATGAGAGGGACTGTAAATCAAAGGGGAGCTGTCAAAAACAAGATTTATGACAGGTTGGTAAATGAGTCACCTGAAAAGCTGTCTTCTTCGCGGTGAGCCTTCAGTGCTGAGGAAATATCTGTATAGAAAAAACAAACAAGTTAATTGGGTCTCAAAGAAAACCGGTGGCCTTTGCTAACAAGGTTATGCCTTAAATATACTCTCAAGCTGAGCTTTGTGCCTGCAACATGTCATATTTAGATGAGAAATAAACCTGATACTTTCAAATAAGCAGCATTTGTCTGTATACTTCATATGCAAATTAATGCAAATGACATTCAGTCTTGAGGCAATATGCATGAGGTTTATTAGTGTCAAGTTGAGAAGAGAAAAATCTGCCTATCAAGCTACAATAACATGCTAATACAGGTACTTCACAGTTTCACGCTCAAGGTTCTATGTTTTATGATGCAAGATGCAATGTCAATTCTTAAGCCTCCTTTTCCCACCATGCACTATGGTGTGCGGTCTGTGATTTGCAGTTACATTGGTCTGAGAATTTGATTTGGAATGTACCTGACACCACAACTCTTACAAGAGTAATGACACAAAGCCCCTCATAACATACATTTACATTTACATTTTAGTCATTTAGCAGACGCTCTTATCCAGAGCGACTTACAAATTGCTGCATTCACCTTATGATAGCCAGTGGGACAACCACTTTACAATATATCAAATATATATATAAAACATTTTTTTTTGGGGGGGGGGGGGGGGGGGGGGGGGGGGGGGGGGTAGGGGGAGGGTAGAAGGATTACTTTTATCCTATCCCAGGTATTCCTTAAAGAGGTGGGGTTTCAAGTGTCTCCGGAAGGTGGTGAGTGACTCCGCTGTCCTGGCGTCGTGAGGGAGCTTGTTCCACCATTGGGGTGCCAGAGCAGCGAACAGTTTTGACTGGGCTGAGCGGGAACTGTGCTTCCGCAGAGGTAGGGGGGCCAGCAGGCCAGAGGTGGATGAACGCAATGCCCTCGTTTGGGTGTAGGGACTGATCAGAGCCTGAAGGTACGGAGGTGCCGTTCCCCTCACAGCTCCGTAGGCAAGCACCATGGTCTTGTAGCAGATGTGGGCTTCAACTGGAAGCCAGTGGAGTGTACAATCAAGTTCACTGTGATAACAATTTTTTTTGTATGTTTCTGCTGTCATCAACTCCTCTACAGCATTCATTCATCAGTCCATACATGCATATAATGTGATCTGTCAACCAGACTAGCTTCTGCATATGTACGAGATACCTTTGTGTCAAGAACTGATGAGAAATGTGATGAATTATGATGAATGTCATTTTATAGTCAATGCAGGCATTATTGCATATGGGACTCATATCTACATAGCTCCAGATGCCCAACTGTCTGTCACCTATCCATATAAGACTAATACACAGTGAGGTCCAAAAGTATTTAGACAGTGACACATTGGTCACACTTTATTTGGATAGTTCGGATAGTCCATCAGTAGATGCTCTACAGATGATCATACTATCAAAAAATTATCTGTTGATAAGAAACTGCTTGCCAGATTCACGGTTAGGGTTAGGTTTAGAATAAGGGTTAGGGTAAGGGTTAAGTTTAGGGGTTAGGATAAGGGTTAAGGTTAGGACTAAGGTTAGGGTTAGTAGATAGTTAGTTGAAATGTTACTGATAGTCTGTAGATAGTCAGTAGAGCATCTACAGATGGACTATCCAAAACATGTGTTACCAACAAATGTTTTGTTGTTTTGTCTCTGTACTCCACCACTTTGGATTTGAAAAATATACAATGACTATGAGGTTAAAGGGAACATATTTTGGTATTGTTTTCATTAGTCCACTGATGATACAGTCCCAAAATGTTTTGCATGTCAGCAGTCAAGTTGTCAAGATATTGGACTTTCAAGAAGCAAAGTGTCACCGGCCACGTCATCATGATGATGTAAAAAGTTAGAGGCATAAATATCATACCCCCCCAAAATGCTAACCTCCCTTGTTATTGGTAATGGTGAGAGGTTAGCATGTCTTGGGGGTATGATCTTTGTGCCGCTGTACCTTTCTCACTCATTATTATTCACGTTTCATTCAGGATTATCCGTAATCATGGTAGCATCCACATTAATGTAGAATTATTCAGAACAGTGGCGATCAGTGCCGTTTATGATGAGGGAGGACACATATTTTTTTATGAGCATGGCCTTACTTCTATTACAGCATGTTGGATGACTGTCATTCATATTCCATTAACCCAGTTCAATGTAACATCTATATGTTTAGGCTACTACATGATACTCTAATTTTCTCTATACCCATCATGACGTTGCTATAACCTAGCCTATGAATGAAAGTTTACAACGCACACAGGTCGAGAAAAATGTGAGATGACAGACAGTGACACATGGACAGACAGTGACACATTCAATACCGCCTTGCACACTCTTGTCTGCATCTAGCTTATCTAGGGTGTAATCATTAGTCCAACAGTTGCAAACGAGAGTTTCTATTGGACAAATTCAGGTATTTTTATCCCCGTTTTGTTTGCTTCCGTTCAAGAAACGTTTTTCAACAGAATCAGCGTAATGAAAACACCCCTGATCACGCATAAACACAGTTCACTTTCATAGCAGCCACGTTGTATTCCTTCTCGCCTCTATGCACTCTCCTCCCGTCACCTTTTCCCTTAGTTTGTGGACCTCAATGAACAACACATCAGCTGTATGTGACCAGGCGAAGAAACCTTTCCAAGCCAAACCATGTCATAACCGCTACACACAGCCTATATCGTTGTCCCTATAGTAGCTAAAGTAACGTCATAGTCAACATAGCTAATAGAACTAATGCGTCAGTAAACACGCTACAATCATGCAGTAACGTTACAGTGTATAGTCAGTAAGCAGTTACAACGGCGGGCACCGGTGGCAATAAATTAGTTAAACCAAAAGCTTACCTTGACTTGGAAGAGTTCCAGTGTTGTGTTGATTAGTCACAGCCAGCTAGCTAACATAGCATCCCTCTGTTTGAGCCAGGTGTTTGAGAAACTAAACTAGCCAGCTGCATTTGCTAGCTAAGTAAGAGAAACTTAAAGTGAAAAAAATGACACACTCTCTCTCTCTCTCTCTCTCTCTCTTGCTTCTCCTTCATTTCTGAAGAAATTAATTTGTTGAAAATTGTTAAACTATTGTCTTTCTCTCTCTTTGAGTCAACTACTCACCACATTTTATGCACTGCAGTGCTAGCTAGCTGTAGTTTATGCGTTCAGTACTAGATTAATTTCTGATCCTTTGATTGGGTGGACAACATGTCAGTTCATGCTGCAAGAGCCCTGATAGGTTGGAGGACGTCCTCCAGAAGTTGTCATAATTACTGTGTAAGTCTATGGAAGGGGGTGAAAACCAAGAACCTCCTAGGTTTTGTATTGAAATCAATGTACCAAGAGGAGGATGGAAGCTAGTTGTCCTCCGGGTACACCATGGTGTTACCCTACAGAGTGCTGTTGAGGCTACTGTAGACCTTAATTGCTAAACAGTGTTGGTGACGTGAATATATTTAGTATAGTTTTATCTAAAAATGATAACTTTTTCAATGTTTTACCATTAAAAAAAAATGAAATTCACTGAGGAGGATGGTCCTTCCCTTCCTCCTCTGAGGAGCCTCCACTGATTCAGAAACATATTCTGTTCTTATTTACAAGTAAAGTGACTTCAAAATGACACAATACATTATTTACCATTAATTTCTATTGGGCACAAAATAATCTGAAAAATAACCAAAACAAACTGCAACAAGTTTGTAGAGTCACAAGCTTGATGTAGTCATTGCGTGTTAGGAATATGGGGACAAAAATATTAAACTTTTGACTACTTTAATACACATAAGTACTTTTGATTCCATTAAATGGGGGGACTATGTACAAAGAGTGCTGTAATTTCTAAACAGTTCACCCAATATGGATGAAAATAGCCTCAAATTTAAGCTGACAGTCCGCACTTTAATCATAGTCATTGCATTATTTCAAATCCAAAGTGCTGGAGTACAGAGCCAAAGCAAAAAAAAGTGTCACTGTCCAAATACTTTTGTACCTCACTGTATATGCTAAATACCTGAATCCTCATTATTGATTTATTATGCACAGTTCAGAAGAGACACTCACATGTTGTCGTTGCTCTCATCATAGGCCAGGATCTTAGTTACTTCCCAGTTCCCTGATGTTAGATGGCGGACCTCATTTTGATCTGCTCTGAACTGGAGGAAGGAAGGAGACAAGAAACAGAAAATAAGCTATTATGAGAGTGATCTACAATATCTATTTTAAAAAAGCCTTCGTGTTTTCAGTCATCACATCATCCTCATCAAGATCATCATCATCATAATCATTGTTTGTCTGGAAGTCGTCCTCAGTACTGTAGCTATGGTCACTAGCAAGGTTTGCAATTTGATGTCGTTGAAGCCACTTTCATTGAGTCATCACATAATACATTTGCAAAAAAGTACAGTGGCCATTGAGAGATGATGCTAACCACTATGGGCACACAGTAATAACCCTCACTTGTGATGTAACCATGGAAATATTACCCTCACCCCGGTGGAAACTATGGTAACAGAACACTTTGAGAGGTAACCATGGTGACATGAGTGACCCTCATCAGTGATGTAACCATGGCGACATGACCCTAATACCTGTGTGGTGAACATGGCGATGTGATGGAACTCTCCACGCCCGCCTTGCTTGACGGGCACCGTCAGGAAGAATATGCTGCCGTCCCTGGAGAACACTGGTTCCTGGTTCTGCCGAAACAAACACAGCAACACATTTTTTTTTCTAGTGTTATGACGTCATTACATGATCACAGATTGTGTAAAATACACTAGTAATATACAGATGTAGGATCATAATTTAAGCCAGTTTGCTACAGCAGGAAAATAATCCTGCAGCAAAAGGAAATATGAATTATTATGTGGATTATAATTCATGGTATTTTCTGTAGGGATTGATACATTTTCCGTTAGGGCAAATCAAGTCTGACATTTCTAAGTGAAATTACAAACTTTAGAAGCATTTTTTAAACTCAAATGCACTAAAAGTTTGCAGTTCCTGCTGTGCAGGAAAATTCTCAGCAACAAAAGAGTCATCAAATTAAGATCCTACATCGGTACAAGTGTAATGGCAATTTATGCCATTCACTACTATGAGTGCACAATAAAGATCTATTGAATAAGATTGAATGGAACTTTGATTTGATAGGTTTGACCATGACTGACTTTACAGAAGTAAAGATTTTTTACCTGTTTTGAAAGCCAGAGCTCTGAGGCCTCCTCATGCCTCTGAAATAGAAAGGCCAAAATGTTAACAGTTAATATTATGTCCCGATTTATAATATGTCCCATATTACATCCCAACCTACTTCAGAAAACCTGAATAGCTGTGGAGCCTGGTTGGAATTAAGCATCCCAAAAAGACAGCCCAAAGTCCTTCAAAATCACTCAATTCACTTTCTTCCCCAATACTTTAACTCTAAAAGCACCAACATATTTCAACCCCTAAAAGTACCAAAAGGGGTATCCCCCCCCCCCCCCCTCTTTCTGTCAAACTCTAACGCTTAATATTTTATTAACAATTTTTAACATAAGTAAATAGTTTAAATTCCCCAAAATAAGAATACATAAAAAAATTGTCATACATTTATAGTCAAATGTTATGTTTAACAGATATTTTGATCAATTTCATCCACAGCCACTTGTTATGAACATTTGTCTGTTATTTATTCAACGTGTTGTGTTTCTGTGATGCTCAGAGGCTGATAAATTGGCAATTGAGCTAATCTGAGATACCGGTAGGACCTAAAATGTCCACCGATATGTTCGATTTAAACAACATGGTGCCATCAGACGTTTAGCTCTAACTTTGGAACGCTATGGGCAATCAACTCAGTTCCAATTGCATCTGAAAGATGAGACTCTCAACTTGTTCTAGAGAAATAGACCGAAAGCTAAATATGTATTAACATTTTTTACATTTGGTGCTTTTTTCACAAAGTTTAGTATTGATTCCGCATTTTCAGCCAATTTTCATTCTAGCGTGCATCGCTAGAATACAAAAGACGGATTATGTTTCATTACTCCATATTAACACAAAAATCCAGATAAATGTAGGGTTTTTTGTTACAAGTAACAACTTGCTTGACCGAGTATAAAAAAAAGGTTTAGACATTTTTTTGACCCCCTGTTTGTGCTTTTAGGGTTAAAATGCCAATGGGGAAATCCGGAATCTGTGCTCTTTAATTTAAGGACAAAAGCCTTGGCAGACAAATTGAGTCTGCACCCAGGCGTAGCCGCTCCTTGGCTGAAGCGTCTGTTTGTTTATGGTCCAGCTGTCTGTGGGGCCTGACCTTGGGACAGTCGAACTGGACCGTGTCCCATAGACTCCCATGTTTCCCCACACGGGGACCACAGCTCTGCACTTTTCCAGACACAGCTTATAATAACACTGTGCAATCATTGCCATCAAAACAAATAGTGGGAAGAATAAATATTTACTTAATGAAAACAGTTTGCTGAGATGATCATTCAATAAAGGCTTCCCAGTTGAAAGTAATATAATAATTAATATGACTTATAGTGTGTGTTTATCTGATAAATGCCACAAGATAATATTTGTATTCAAAGTGGTGGATAAACAGAATAAGAAAAAGTGCATTAACATACTGTACACCCCTCCACAAGTGCCCTTCAGCATGCATAGTAAAAAGCACACAAAAACAGCAGAACAGCTGATAAAGTACTGTCAGATGAGGCATTCGAGTCAACAATCTCTTTCCCTTTGGTAGCATACTGTAGCAGTAATAAAGTCAATGCATTGTCTGCTCTGTCCTCCCACTGACTCAATAACTGAATGACCCCCCCAGGGGGAGTGTGACCTAGTCTCAACATTACCAAGCCCCCCACCCCCTACCCAGCATGCCTCTCACCTTAACACAGGCCCCCGTGGTGGTCTCACACACGGTCAGGATGGACACATTCTGGGCACGGTTCATCCACCTGACCGTCGTCTTGGTTTTACTGATCCAATTGACCATGGCCACATAGTGCTCCCTACGAGAGAGAACGGACAGAAGTTGTTATTATCTTCAACATGTACCATGACCTTGTCTCTCCAAATAGTGAACTTCCCAAGATTTGTTTGAATTATTCCAGGCAGTAAATCACACCTTAGTTTGAGGCTGTCTGGTGGTGTGAGCTCCTGTGTGTGTGTCGGCCCGTACAGATTCACCACGTATAACTTCACTGTGGGGTTGGGTTGGCCAGCCTGAAAACAGAGTCAGTCTTTTAGATATTGTAGCACCATTACACATTATGAATCACAGATTAAAAACACCACACGAAACCAATCACTATATCAACTAAACAAATAATTGAATAATTACATTGTAGTTATGTAGAGCAATATTATACTGTATATGTAGCTACCAACATAAACAAACAACTTCAAAACATCCCCAAACAATGGATGATAATAATAACACATTAGAATCATTGAACACATGCCCTAACAATGAATAATAATAATAACACATTAGAATATTTGAACACATGCCCTAACAATGAATAATAATAATAATGCATTAGAATCATTGAACACATGCCCTAACAATGAATAATAATAATAATAACACATTAGAATCATTGAACACATGCCCTAACAATGAAAAATAATAATAACACATTAGAATCATTGAACACATGTCCTAACAATGAATAATAGATATGTCTTTACACATTACAACGCATAACATGACCTATTTTTATCTAATGGTGATACAAATGTTCATGGTTATGAAACAAAATGAGAAAAACAGCATGACTAAAGTTATCACCTAATTTACACGCAGCACTGTATTTAGCCTAACCATGTTTAAATACGAATAAGAATCACAAAGGTTGGCCTTGAACAATGCATGAAGATATGAACCAAAGCCTGTCTAAGCCCCCATAGAGACTGAATAGTCCTCTTATAGGCACTGCTATAGCACAGTATCGTATTGACCTTTTCTAATGCTAATCCTCCCTAATAGTGTAGCAGTGCTTTTTCTACATTCAGTGTCACATTCACTGTTGGCACTCAAGCCTAAATGCCATATGCCAAGCTCTACTGGTTCTCACCCTTGGTATGGATTCTGCCACTTCTAGTTTAACCTTGGGCCAAGAACACATGGCCGGATTGGCCTCACACTGGCCCACAGTGCTGTGTTGCGAGAGGCTGACCTAAAGCAGGAAGAGGGATCGCTTATGTATCCTCAGTTTTCTAAATATCACTATAGAAACAGAGGACACAGGGTTTGCGTCCCAAACGGTACCCTATTCCTTTTATATTGCATTACTGGTACCCATAGGCCCCTGGTCAAAAGTAGTGCACTATATAGGGAAAAGGGTATAAATTGGGACACACACAGGACTGGGGGAACAACAGACATCTGGTGGGGAGTTTTAGTCTTAATTGCTGCAGGAAAGGGACACTGTTTGGATGGATCTTCCTGTACCTTGAAGTACAGACATGCTGTGGGTCTTATTCAATCAGGATGGTGACCATGAGTTCCAGGGGTTAGGCGAAAGAACATTGTTTCATCGCTGCTTGATCGAAGTTTAAAATTATAGTGATACGCTAATGGGTTTTGTTGTTTTAAACTGTAAATAACTCAAGTACATTTAAGTGTGATTTATTTCTAAAAGCTCAAGAGGAATGTTGATTTGTCTTACTCCCGAAACCCAGTTTGTGGTTTTGATTGAATGACAAGAGATATAATTAATCTCACTGTAATCTCAGATTAGTCAGAGTTAGGCCAATTTGTTTCATTCCACCAATCGAAGCTAGATAGGTGGGTGGCAGCAGACAATGTACTGTACATCATCTCAGGTTAAGGCTATTGCTTACCTTAGGGTAGGGGTATTGCTTTCCTTTGGGGTATGAAGCGCCAGTGAAGCGAGGAAGGGCCATATTGGGCACCAGAGTGTCATTGAGGACCAGGAAGGCCAACCTCTCTCCATCCGGTGACCACCAGTGTGCTATATGGGACTGGAGAATCTCCTCTATAAAGAGGCACAAGGAATACATAGGAAATACATTGCAGATCTCTAGAAAATGATATACAGTACCTTCAGAAAGTATTCATACACCTTGACTTATTCCAAAATAAATTGTGTTACAGCCTGAATTCAAAATTTATTAAATATTATGTTTTTCTCACCCATCTACACACACACACACACAATAATGACAAAGTAAAAACATGTTTTTAGAAATGTTTGCATTTCATTTATTTTTTTATACAGAAATATCTCATTTACATAATTATTCACACCCCTGAGTCGGCAGGTAGCTTAGTGGTTAAGAGCATTGTGCCAGTAACCGAATGGTCGCTTGTTCTAATCCCCGAGCCGACTAGGTGAAAAATCTGTCGATGTGCCCTTGAGCAAGGCACTTAACCCTAATTGCTCATGTAAGTCACTCTGGATAAGAGTGTCTGCTAAAATGTAAAATACTTTGTAGAAGCACATTTGGCAGCGATTACAGCTGTGAGTCTTTCAGGGTAAGTCTCTAAGAGTTTTCCACACCTGGATTGTGCAACATTTGGCCAAAATTATTTTCAATGTAAATAGTCTGGGTGGCCATTTCATTAATTGTTCAGCAGTCTTATGGCTTGGGGGTAGAAGCCGTTAAGGAGCCTTTTGGACCTAGACTTGGCACTCCGGTACCAGAGAAAACAGTTTTATGACTTGGGTGACTGGAGTCTTTGACAATTTTTGGGGCCTTCCTCTGTGCCTAGTATATAGGTCCTGGATGGCAGGAAGCTTGGCCCCAGTGATGTATTGGGCCGTATGCACTACCCTCTGTAGCGCCTTACGGTCGGATGCCGAGCAGTTGCCATACCAGGTGGTGATGCAACCAGTCAAGATGCTCTCGATGATGCAGCTGTAGAACTTTATGAGGATCTGGGGACTCATGCCAAATCTTTTCAATCTCCTGAGGGGGAAAAGGCATTGTCGTGCCCTCTTCACAACTTTCTTGGTGTGTTTGGACCATGATAGTTTGTTGGTGATATAGACACCAAGGAACTTGAAACTCTCAACCCACTCCACTACAGTCCCGTTGATGTGAATGGGGGCTTGTTCGGCCCTCCTTTTACTCTAGTCCACGTTCAGCTCCTTTGTCTTGCTTATGTTGAGGGAGAGGTTGTTGTCCTGGCACCCCACTGCCAGGTCTATGACCTCCTCCCTATCGTTGTCGGTGATCAGGCCTACCACTGTTGTGTCGTCAGCAAATGTAATGATGGTATTGGAATCGTGCTTGGCCACGCAGTCGTGGGTGAACAGGGAGTACAGGAGGGGACTAAGCACACACCCCTGAGGGGCCCCCGTGTTGAGGATCAGCATGGCAGATGTGTTGTTGCCTACCCTTACCACCTGGGGGTGGCCCGTCAGGAAGTCCAGGATCCAGTTGCAGAGGGAGGTGTTTAGTCCCAGGGTCCTTAGCTTAGTGATGAGCTTTGTGGGCACTATGGTGTTGAACGCTGAGCAGTAGTCAATGAACAGCATTCTCACATAGGTGTTCATTTTGTCCAGGTGGGAAAGGGCAGTGTGTAGTGCGATTGAGATTGCGTCATCTGTGGATCTGTTTGGGCGGTATGCGAATTGGAGTGGGTCCAGGGTTTCCGGGATGATGGTGTTGATGTGAGCCATGACAAGCATTTCAAAGCAGTTCATGGCTATCGACGTGAGTGCTACGGGGTGGTAGTCATTTAGGCAGGTTACCTTCGCTTTCTTGGGCACAGTGACTATGGTGGTCTGCTTGAAACATGTAGGTATTACAGACTCGGTCAGGGAGAGGTTGAAAATGTCAGTGAAGACACTTGCCAGTTAGTCCGTGCATGCTCTGAGTACACGTCTTGGTAATCCGTCTGGCCCCATGGCCTTGTGAATGTTGACCTGTTTAAAGGTCTTGCTCACATCAGCTACGGAGAGCGTGATCACACAGTCGTCCAGAACAGCTGGTGCTCGAAGCGATCATAATAGGCATTTAGCTCGTCTGGTAGGTTAGTATTATGGAGTAACTACAATGTTGTTGATCCAGCCTCAGTTTTCTCCTATCACAGCCATTAAACTCTGCAACTGTTTTGAAGTCACCATTGGCCTTAAGGTGAAATCCCTGAGTGGTTTCCTTCCACACAATCCAAAGGTTAATTCATATCTTCACCATGCTCAAAAGGATAGTCAATGTCTGCTTTCTTTTTTTTACCCATCTACCAATACAGTGGGGGAAAAAAGTATTTAGTCAGCCACCAATTGTGCAAGTTCTCCCACTTAAAAAGATGAGAGAGGCCTGTAATTTTCATCATAGGTACACGTCAACTATGACAGACAAAATGAGAAAAAAAAATCCAGAAAATCACATTGTAGGACTTTTAATGAATTTATTTGCAAATTATGGTGGAAAATAAGTATTTGGTCAATAACAAAAGTTTCTCAATACTTTGTTATATACCCTTTGTTGGCAATGACACAGGTCAAACGTTTTCTGTAAGTCTTCACAAGGTTTTCACACACTGTTGCTGGAATTTTGGCCCATTCCTCCATGCAGATCTCCTCTAGAGCAGTGATGTTTTGGGGCTGTCGCTGGTCAACACAGACTTTCAACTCCCTCCAAAGATGTTCTATGGGGTTGAGATCTGGAGACTGGCTAGGCCACTCCAGGACCTTGAAATGCTTCTTACGAAGCCACTCCTTCGTTGCCCGGGCGGTGTGTTTGGGATCATTGTCATGCTGAAAGACCCAGCCACGTTTCATCTTCAATGCCCTTGCTGATGGAAGGAGGTTTTCACTCAAAATCTCACGATACATGGCCCCATTCATTCTTTCCTTTACACGGATCAGTCGTCCTGGTCCCTTTGCAGAAAAACAGCCCCAAAGCATGAAGTTTCCACCCCCATGCTTCACAGTAGGTATGGTGTTCTTTGGATGCAACTCAGCATTATTTGTCCTCCAAACACGACGAGTTGAGTTTTTACCAGAAAGTTCTATTTTGGTTTCATCTGACCATATGACATTCTCCCAATCCTCTTCTGGATCATCCAAATGCACTCTAGCAAACTTCAGACGGGCCTGGACATGTACTGGCTTAAGCAGGGGGACACGTCTCGCACTGCAGGATTTGAGTCCCTGGCGGCGTAGTGTGTTACTGATGGTAGGCTTTGTTACTTTGGTCCCAGCTCTCTTTAGGTCATTCACTAGGTCCCCCCATGTGGTTCTGGGATTTTTGCTCACCGTTATTGTGACCATTTTGACCCCACGGGGTGAGATCTTGCGTGGAGCCCCAGATCGAGGGAGATTATCAGTGGTCTTGTATGTCTTCCATTTCCTAATAATTGCTCCCACATTTGATTTCTTCAAACCAAGCTGCTTACCTATTGCAGATTCAGTCTTCCCAGCCTGGTGCAGGTCTACAATTTTGTTTCTGGTGTCCTTTGACAGCTCTTTGGTCTTGGCCATAGTGGAGTTTGGAGTGTGACTGTTTGAGGTTGTGGACAGGTGTCTTTTATACTGATAACAAGTTCAACAGGTGCCATTAATACAGGTAATGAGTGGAGGACAGAGGAGCCTCTTAAATAAGAAGTTACAGGTCTGTGAGAGCCAGAAATCTTGCTTGTTTGTAGGTGACCAAATACTTATTTTCCACCATAATTTGCAAATAAATTCATAAAAAATCCTACAATGTGATTTTCTGGATTTTTTTCTCTCAATTTGTCTGTCATAGTTGACGTGTACCTATGATGAAAATTACAGGCCTCTCTCATCTTTTTAAGTGGGAGAACTTGCACAATTGGTGGCTGACTAAATACTTTTTTCCCCCACTGTAGGTGCCCTTCTTTGCAAGGAATTGGAAAACCTCCCTGGTCTTTGTGGTTGAATCTGTGTTTGAAATTCACTGCTCGACTGAGGGACCTTACAGATAATTGTATGTGTGCGGTACAGAGATGAGGTAGTCATTCAAAAATCATGTTAAGCACTATTATTGCACACAGAGTTCATGCAATTTATTATGTGACTTGTTAAGCACATTTTTGCTAGTGAACTTATTTAGGCTTGCCATAACAAAGGGGTTGAATACTTACTGACTCAAGACATTTCAGCTTTTCACTTTTAATTAATTAGTGAACATTCTGAAAAACATAATTCCACTTTGACATTATGGGGCATTGTGTGTAACAAAATCTCAGTTTAATCCATTTTAAATTCAGGCTGTAACAGAACAAAATGCAGACAAAGTCAAGGGGTGTGAATACTTTTAGAAGGCACTGTATTCTCCAACAAAATGGCCATATGGTAGTGTTAGGGCTGGACTAAATCCGTATCACAGAAGTATTGCGTAAGATCCACATTATAGCACAGTTTAAATGTAAAGGCAACGTTCCCTCATTCACGGTAAATGCTGCATATGGAAATGTAGGGTGAAAACACCTTGAGATAATAGTTGATATTATAATTTTTCCTGAAGTTTCCATCTGTACTGTTCCATATGAGAAGGCCATATGCTGATAGTGTGCGTAAAAAATATAGAGAGCACTAAAGTATTACGACAACTCAAGCATGATGTTCGAGTGCAGTTAACAGTACTTAACGGTCTGTGGCAATGTAATGTCAGACAATTGAGATGTTAATTAGGTCTGATTAGGAGTCATTTGCATCTCAAAATAGATGCTCGCACAGAGAGAGGGACAAACACCAAATTGAGACTCTGCATGCAGAATTCTGCAAAAACATCCTCCGTGTACAACGTAAAACACCAAATAATGCATGCAGAGCAGAATTAGGCCAATACCCGCTAATTATCAAAATCCAGAAAAGAGCCGTTAAATTCTATAACCACTTAAAAGGAAGCGATTCCCAAACCTTCCATAACAAAGCCATCACCTACAGAGAGATGAACTTGGAGAAGAGTCCCCTAAGTAAGCTTGTCCTGGGGCTCTGTTCACAAACACAAACAGACCCCACACAGCCCCAGGACAACAACAACAACAACAACAACACAACTAGACCCAACCAAATCATGAGAAAACAAAAAGAGAATTACTTGACACATTGGAAAGAACAAACAAAAAAACAGAGCAAACTAGAATGCTATTTGGCCCTAAACAGAGAGTACACAGTGGCAGAATACTTGACCACTGTGACTGACCCAAACTTAAGGAAAGCTTTGACTATGTACAGACTCAGTGAGCATAGCCTTGCTATTGAGAAAGGCCGCCGTAGGCAGACCTGGCTCTCAAGAGAAGACAGGCTATGTGCACACTGCCCACAAAATGAGGTGGAAACTGAGCTGCACTTCCTAACCTCCTGCCAAATGTATGACCATATTAGAGACACATATTTCCCTCAGATTACAGCGATCCACAAAGAATTCGAAAACAAACCCAATTTTGATAAACTCCCTTATCTACTGGGTGAAAAACCACAGTGTGCCATCACAGCTGCAAGATTTGTGACCTGTTGCCACAAGAAAAGGGCAACCAGTGAAGAACAAACACCATTGTAAATACAACCCATATTTATGTTTATTTATTTTCCCATTTGTACTTTAACTATTTGCACATTGTTACAACACTGTATATATACATAATATGACATTTGAAATGTCTTTATTCTTTTTAAACTTCTGAGTGTAATGTTTACTGTTAATATTTATTGTTTATTTCACTTTTGTTTACTATCTACTTCACTTGCTTTGGCAATGTTAACACACGTTTCCCATGCCAATAAAGCCCTTAAATTGAATTGAAATTGAATTGAGAGAGAGAGAGAGAGAGAGAGAGAGAGGAGAGAGAGAGAGAGAGAGGAGAGAGAGAGAGAGAGAGAGAGAGAGGAGAGAGAGAGGAGAGAGAGGAGAGAGAGAGAGAGAGAGAGAGAGAGGAGAGAGAGAAGAGAGAGAGAGAGAGAGAGACCGAGAGAAAGCGGGAGAGACATTAACATGTTATTTCACATTGTCACAAAGTTCAAAGTAGACAAACTAAGGAATGACAGGTTGTCATAGAGACTGTCATATTACCATGAAAATCATGTATACTGAACAGAAATGTTAATGCAACATGTAAAGTGTTGATCCCATGTTTCATAAGCTGAAATAAAAGATCCCGGACATTTTCCATACGCACAAAAAGCTTATTTCTCTCAAATTATGTGCACAAATTTGTTTCCATCCCAGTTAGTGTGCATTTCTCCTTTGCCAAGATAATCCATCCACCTGACAGGTGTGGCATATCAAGAAGCTGATTAAACAGCATGATCATTACACAGGTGTATCTTGTGCTGGGGACAATAAAAGGCCACTCTAAAATGTGCAGTTTTATCCCACAACACAATGCCACAGATGTCTCAAGTTTTGAGGGAATGTGCAATTGGCATGCTGACTACAGGAATTTCCACCAGAGCTGTTGTCAGAGAATTGAATGTTCCTCTACCATAAGCCGCCTCCAACGTCGTTTTAGAGAATTTGGCAGTACATCCAACCGGCCTCACAACCGCAGACCACGTGTAACCACGCCAGCCCAGGACCTCCACATCCGGCTTCTTCACCTGCGGGATCGTCTGAGACCAGCCACCCGGACAGCTGATGAAACTGAGGAGTATTTCTGTCTGTAATAAAGCCCATTGGTGGGGAAAAACTAATTCTGATTGGCTGGGCCTGGCTCCCAAGTGGGTGGGCCCCTGCCCAGTCATGTGAAATCCATAATTTAGGGCCTAATTTATTTATTTCAATTGATTTATTTCCTTCTATGAACTGTAACTCAGTAAAATCTTTGAAATTGTTCCATGTTGCATTTATATATTTTTCAGTATACATTAACTTATATTGGCAATACTGTAGCTATGGAGAACATTACACAAGGTATCATGATAATAATGTTTCCATGAAACTAGTGTTCGCAAATGTTTGACGTTGTGTTACATGAGTAGGTGTAAGCAAGCCTTTCCACCCACACTTCTAAATAAACAGTCACAAAAATTCCATATTAATACTATGTGCTTTTATGATACCAGAGTTTTCAAATGTTAGATGTTGTATTTCATCACAGGAGGTTGGTGGGACTTAAATTGGGGAGAACGGGGTCGTGGTAATGACTGGAGTGGAATCAGTGGAATGGTATCAAATACATCAAACTCATGGTTTCCAGGTGTTTGATGCCATTCCATTTGCGCCGTTCATGCCATTATTATGAGCTGTTCGCCCCTCAGCAGCCTCCACTGTGTTGCATGTAGGTGTTAGCAAAATCTCCTGCCCACACTTTTAAATAAACTGTCACAAATATTCCATACTAATACTAATCATATTGCAACATTTCTAAATTTTCTCCATAGGAATTGTGACAGTGATGGCAACTTTGGTGAACACCTGCCACATTTCTAAAATTACTTCAGTCTTACAGTCTATTTAAGTGATTGCTAATATCTGGGTCGTTCCACAAATAGAGTACATTTTGGGGAGTGTAACAATTTATTTATTGATTAATGTCACCTTATTTTAACATTCTGTCATAAAGAGCACATGTTGAACTTATAGTAAGTGCCAATAAAGTGCTAGTAAAGCCTGGATTTGCAGTTGCTTTTCACAAACAAAATGTAGTTTAAATCAAAACAGCCATAGCTGCTGGGATGGCCTTGAGGAAAGGTGTGTTTTTGCGCTAAATCCCGCCCACTCTAACAACCTTCATTGTGCCTCCCTCTGGGAGCCAGTGGAGTGAGAGGAAGCGTCTCTAGCTGCTACTACTGCCACCAGACTCAAACACAGCAGACACAGCCAACACACACTGACAATAGGGCAATGACGATACCAGTACCGCAATATTTTTTCCATGGCAAAAATGAAAACACGAAGCAGACTAAACTCTTTGGTCCTTTAAAAATCTACTGTATGTAAAATATTGTGCGCTATAGCTTGAAAAATAAATAAATATGACTCTGGATGACGACATAATTATGTTTGTTTCCAACATTAGGGCTGTTTTCCTACAGAAGTTAAATCCACTTGTTAAATAGCAAGTAGCTAGCAGACTAACTTGATTATAAAGGCACACTGACCTGAACAGTCCATTTATTTGTGACTTTATCACTTGTCAGTGTGTGTTGTATGTGTCTGCTGTGTTTGAGTCTGGTGGCAGTAGTAGCAGATAGAGACTTTCCACTTCCTCGCACTCCACTGACTCCCACAGCGAGGCACAATGAAGGTTGTTCAAGTGGGCAGGATTTAGCACAAAGACACACCTTTCCAAGGCCAGCCCAGCAGCTATTTTCATTCAAACTCTATTATTTTCTCTCACAACACAACCAGTGGGGTGGCTTCTGTTGTGAAAAGCAACTGCGGTTCTGGGCTTTAGTAACAGGGTTGACCGTAACAGGGTTAAGTTTTCATCTTAAATTAGCCATAAATCCCCTTGTGACAGAGGGAATGGAAGCTTGTTGTGTGCAACAGGGAGAGGCAAATGAATGCAAGCTTCACAAAAAATGCTCAACGTGCTCAGTTTTCCATAACAAAACATCAGTAAATGGCCAAAAAGAGTAGAACCAGCTCACCTGCTTTTACACTATGAGTTTACTGTTACAGTGCCTTCAGAAAGTATGCATACCCCTTGACTTATTCCACATTTTGTTGTGTTACAACCTGAATTCAAAATGTATTAAAAATACATATTTTTTATCTCATCCATTTACACACAATACCTCATAATAACAAAGTGAAATATGTTGAGTACTCATCCTTTAGAAAATTTCGCAAATTCTTTGAAAATGAAATACAGAAATATCACATTTACTAAGTATTCACACCCCTGAGTAAATACTTTGTAGAAGCACCTTTGGCAGCGATTACAGCTGTGAGTCTTTCTGGGTAAGTCTCTAAGAGCTTTCCACTACTTGATTGTGCAACATTTTCCCATTACTCTTTTCAAAATTCTTCAAGAGCTGTCAAATTGGTTGTTGATCATTGCTAGACAACCATTTTTAGGGCTTGCCATAAATTTAGTATATTTAAGTAAAAACTGTAACTCGGCCACTCAGGAACATTCACTGTCTTCTTGGTAAGCAACGTCAGTGTAGATTTGGCCTTATGTTTTAGGTTATTGTGCTGCTGAAAGGTGAATTCATCTCCCAGTGTCTGGGAGAAACCAGACTGAACCAGGTTTTCTTCTATGATTTTGCCCGTGCTTAGCTCCATTCCGTACATTTTTATCCTGAAAATCTCCCCAGTATTTAACGATTACAAGCATACCCATAACATGACGCAGCCACCACTATGCTTTAAAATATGGAGAGTGGTACTCAGTAATGTGTTGTATTGGATTTGCCCCAAACATAACACTTTGTATTCAGGACAAAAAGTTAATTTCTTTGCCACATTTGTTGCAGTATTACTTTAGTGCCCTGTTGCAAACAGGATGCATGTTTAGGAATATTTTTTATTCTGTACTTCCTTCTTTTCACTTTGTCAATTAGGTTAGTATTGTGGAGTAACTACAATGTTGTTGATCCATCCTCAGTTTTCTCCTATCACAGCCATTAAACTCTGTAACTGGTTTTAAAGTCACCTCATGGTGAAATATCTGAGCGGTGTCCTTCCTCTCCAGCAACTGAGTTAGGAAGAACGCCTGTATCTTTGTAGTGACTGGTGTATTGATACACAATCCAAAGTATAATAAATAACTTCACCATGCTCAAAGGGATATTCACTGACCGTTTTTTTTTTTACCCATCTACCAATAGGTGCCCTTCTTTACGAGGCATTGGAAAACCTCCCTTGTCTTTGTGGTTGAATCTGTGTTTGAAATTCACTGCTCGACTGAGGGACCTTACAGATAATTGTATGTGTGGGGTACAGAGATGAGGTAGTCATTCAAAAATCATGTTAAACACTATTATTGCACACAGAGTGAGTCCATGCAACTTATTATGTGACTTGTTAAGCACATTTTTAGGCTTGCCATAACAAAGGGGTTGAATACATATTGACTCAAGACATTTCAGCTTTTCACTTTTAATGTATTTGTAAAAAAATTGAAAAACATAATTCCACTTTGACATTTTGGGGCATTGTGTGTAGGCCAGTGACACACAATCTTAATGTAATCCATTTTAAATTCAGGCTGTAACACAACAAAATGTGGAAAAAGTCAAGTGGTGTGAATACTTTCTGAAGGCACTGTATAAATAAAATAAAATAAATAGTATAGTTTCACCGTATTAAAACGAGAGTTCACTAACAGGGTTGACCTTAAAACATGAGACCGACGTAAATGAATCACTATTCACAAGAAATAAATAATAATCTTCAGAAACAAACGTTTATACATTTTGGGGTTAAGTGGGTTAAAATCTTCTTAGAAGTCACAGAGGGTGCACAGAGGGACATGCCAAAATGCTGAATGCACAATTTCTACTTCAAATATCAAAGGGGCGCAAAATGTACTCTATTCGTGGAACGACCCACCTACCCTCGTACAGCCAGTCAGCGATCCCATTGAAAATGACCCCTTCCTTTCCAGACGATGTCAGTCTGAGGGAGTTGCTCTTCACATCTGATTGGTAGTAAATATTGTTCTCAAATATGTAGATCTGTGGGCACAAGGACACACAATGAGATCAGGAAAGTCATTACTGACATATCGCATTTAACATTTCACTTTGGTATGACCTCTACTGGCCTGCACTGTGAAACTCAATGAAACATCAGCATTTTACAATAATTCTGTTTTGAACCCAGAGAGTGAATAAACTTCTATGGTAATGTACAATATATCCAAACACAAATACAAGGCCTACGGTAAAATCCCTTTCAACCCACTCAATTTAGCAGATATATTGAAATTCATGAAAAGGGGGAAATAATAACACATTTTCCATTCAAGTCTTATTCAGGTCTCATTCCCTGAATGGATATGGTTGAAGTGGCCTGGAATCCCCCCTGTCCAGAGAAACACCAGAAACCTAATGTCTGATTCCATCAACCTAAATGACCCGTGTTACATAGAGCTGTGTTAAAATTAGCACCCAACTCCTCAGCCTCAGATGACTTTCTTTTCCCAAAACCATTCAACGTTTCCAAGCCAGCCAGCTGTCTGCATCAGCCAGACTTACATAAAGCACTGTTATGTCGTTACTCGGTCACGGAGCTGAGCTGACCCCGTCTCAAGCTCTGCAGGCCCTGCTGTTATATCAAAGGCATTAAGCAAAGGAAACTTGCCTAAATCGCTTCAGAAGTGTGTGTGTGGTATTGGATTCAGCGAAAAAAAAGCTGCTTTTAACAGCAATGACTTGAACCATTTGAACAGTTTCCACATCAATGTACCATCTGCTTCACTAAAGGCTGAGACTACCTGTCCTTAAACGGGGTAGGATTTTCAGTACCACAGTGGTGTAGGAGAGGAGTGTGTTTGAAACTATGAGGCATCTGTTAGGAAATTTGGTTATGACAGGTTTGGTTACGAGGAAGCGCTATCGTAACATTTCTATATGGATTACTTTTTGTTTTGGGCTTGAGTTTGTTTTGACAGGTCAACCCAGCAGCAAAACGCTTCACTTCAAGGATGCTGTTGTTGACCCACACAAACCTATTGTGTCAGTTCTGTATACGAACCGAGTATCAGTATGATTTTTTGGGCCACCAGGCCAGTAATATAATTTAAAGTGAGTAAAAAATATACTTTTGATTTCACCAAATCTTAACATTCTGTCACCAAGACCACATGCTCAACTTCATAAAAAACATATTTTCTCATCTCAAGAGGTAAAAAAAAAGTCTATAGTAAGTGCCTCTCTTCTGCTTACTTAAATAATAAAAAAATTATAGTACTCGAGATCGGGCACTAGACTGTTTTTATTATTATTATTACATTTCTTTACTATATGTCAGAGTGTAGGTCTAGCTCCCACTCAGCCCAGTCCAAGCTCTTCTCTGTCCTGGCACCCCAATGGTGGAACCAGCTTCCCCCTGAAGTGAGGACAGCATAGTCCCTGCCCATATTCCGAAAATATCTAAAACCCTACCTCTTCAAAGAGTATCTTAAATAATCCCACAGCACCACACCGCGAACCACCTCGCACCACCAAAAAAAAACACTTGCACTTGACTTTTTTCCCGCCCTTACTAGCTCTGACCTCGCTGATAGCTACTTTATTGAGGAGAAATGTAATTACTATGACTGTGATATTAAGATGAATGCATTATACGTCTCTACAGTGGATGGCTAGCGGTGTGTTATACCCAGGATTGTGTAGGCGGACCTACGCCTTCTCATGCTCACTTTTCATTGGCTCATTAGATGTCAATCCCCGAAAGACTGACTTTCACATTATCTTTCTTTTCATCTTTAACAGGGGGTTCAGTAAAACATTGTTGCTGTAGGATTCGATATCACCCCCCAGGCCTCCTGTAAGCAACATTTCAATAAGTAGATTTTCAATAAATATGCATGTGTTTGTCTTATGTCGACACAGTTTATACCAAATGAAGCTCCAGGTCATCCTGAATAAACTACCAACTCTATGAATATCATGGATGAATACCATGAATATCATGGAACAACAGTACTTAACATTTACGCATAACTTCATAATACATTTGAACCGTATCAGACAAATAATCCATCATGTCATGAACCCTCTGTTTGAAACAATATGGAGGGGATTCAAAGGGTAAAAAGCCTTATTCATTCACATGAATAATTGACATACTTTTTTATTTTATACCCAAGATTTGTATAGAAAAATATATATTTTGCTGATGTATTTGGACCAGTCCACTGTATTCTACAACTCTTCAGCTTTCTGTGGATATAAGGGTTTACTAGTCTATTCTTCATGGCCCTCTCTATTTTATTTTATCCAGGCATAGCATATACAGTGGGGAGAACAAGTATTTGATACACTGCCGATTTTGCAGGTTTTCCTACTTACAAAGCATGTAGAGGTCTGTAATTTTTATCATAGGTACACTTCAACTGTGAGAGACGGAATCTAAAACAAAAATCCAGAAAATCACATTGTATGATTTTTAAGTAATTAATTTGCATTTTATTGCATGACATAAGTATTTGATACATCATAAAAGCAGAACTTAATATTTGGTACAGAAACCTTTGTTTGCAATTACAGAGATCATACATTTCCTGTAGGTCTTGACCAGGTTTTCACACACTGCAGCAGGGATTTTGGCCCACTCCTCCATACAGACCTTCTCCAGATCCTTCAGGTTTCAGGGCTGTCGCTGGGCAATACAGACTTTCAGCTCCCTCCAAAGATTTTCTATTGGGTTCAGGTCTGGAGACTGGCTACTCCAGGACCTTGAGATGCTTCTTACGGAGCCACTCCTTAGTTGCCCTGGCTGTGTGTTTCGGGTCGTTGTCATGCTGGAAGACCCAGCCACGACCCATCTTCAATGCTCTTACTGAGGGAAGGAGGTTGTTGGCTAAGATCTCGCGATACATGGCCCCATCCATCCTCCCCTCAATACGGTGCAGTCGTCCTGTCCCCTTTGCAGAAAAGCATCCCCAAAGAATGATGTTTCCACCTCCATGCTTCACGGTTGGGATGGTGTTCTTGGGGTTGTACTCATCCTTCTTCTTCCTCCAAACACAGTGAGTGGAGTTTAGACCAAAAAGCTCTATTATTGTCTCATCAGACCACATGACCTTCTCCCATTCCTCCTCTGGATCATCCAGATGGTCATTGGCAAACTTCAGATGGGCCTGGACATGCGCTGGCTTGAGCAGGGGGACCTTGCGTGTGCTGCAGGATTTTAATCCATGACGGCGTAGTGTGTTACTAATGGTTTCCTTTGAGACTGTGGTCCCAGCTCACTTCAGGTCATTGACCAGGTCCTGCTGTGTAGTTCTGGGCTGATCCCTCACCTTCCTCATGATAATTGATGCCCCACGAGGTGAGATCTTGCATGGAGCCCCAGACCGAGGGTGATTGACCGTCATCTTGAACTTCTTCCATTTTCTAATAATTGCGGCAACAGTTGTTGCCTTCTCACCAAGCTGCTTGCCTATTGTCCTGTAGCCCATCCCAGCCTTGTGCAGGTCTACAATTGTATCCCTGATGTCCTTACACAGCTCTCTGGTCTTGGTCATTGTGGAGAGGTTGGAGTCTGTTTGATTGAGTGTGTGGACAGGTGTCTTTTATACAGGTAACGAGTTCAAACAGGTGCAGTTAATACAGGTAATGAGTGGAGAACTGGAGGGCTTCTTAAAGAAAAACTAACAGGTCTGTGAGAGCCGGAATTCTTACTGGTTGGTAGGTGATCAAATACTTATGTCATGCAATAAAATGCTAAATAATGACTTAAAAATCATACAATGTGATTTTCTGGATTTTTGTTTTAGATTCCGTCTCTCACAGTTGAAGTGTACCTATGATAAAAATGACAGACCTCTACATACTTTGTAAGTAGGAAAACCTGCAAAATCGGCAGTGTATCAAATACTTGTTCTCCCCACTGTATAGGCTCAAGAGGTGGCAAAGAAAGTAAAAGGGTTGATGATTTCTTCTTAAATTGCACATACATCCCCGTGGGACGGGGGAATGGAAGCTTGTTATGTGCAACAGGGAAGGGCAATTGAATGCAATTCTAGCCTGTCTATCTATGGGTAACAGATTTGACAATTAGATGTTCAATGTTTCTTTATAAAACATATTTTTTTTAAGGAATAGTTTCACCCATATTAAAACAAGAGTTCAGTTCACGTAACAGGCTTGACCCTTAAATGAGGGACATGGAGGGACATGTCAAAATGCTGAATTGTGGCACTTTAGGAAGTCTTTATTTATATTGAAAATCTGATTTATTGAATTTTCCATGTGGTCTATATAAAAGGGCACTTCATTTAATATAACAGGATTTTATAACCCATAAGAGTCTAAGCCCTGTCTAAGCCGGGATAGGGGGGTCTCCATACATAGTGCATTCGGAAAGTATTCAGAGACCTTGACCTTTTTTTTTTGTTACGTTACAGCCTTACTCTAAAATCATCAATCAACACACACAATACTCCATAATGACAAAGCGAAAACAGATTTGCAAATGTATATATATATATATATATATATATATATATATATATATAGTGGGGGAAAATAGTATTTAGTCAGCCATCAATTGTGCAAGTTCTCCCACTTAAAAAGATGAGAGAGGCCTGTAATTTTCATCATAGGTACACGTCAACTATGACAGACAAATTGAGAAAAAAAATCCAGAAAATCACATTGTAGGATTTTTTATGAATTTATTTGCAAATTATGGTGGAAAATAAGTATTTGGTCACCTACAAACAAGCAAGATTTCTGGCTCTCACAGACCTGTAACTTCTTCTTTAAGAGGCTCCTCTGTCCTCCACTCATTACCTGTATTAATGGCACCAGTTTGAACTTGTTATCAGTATAAAAGACACCTGTCCACAACCTCAAACAGTCACACTCCAAACTCCACTATGGCCAAGACCAAAGAGCTGTCAAAGGACACCAGAAACAAAATTGTAGACCTGCACCAGGCTGGGAAGACTGAATCTGCAATAGGTAAGCAGCTTGGTTTGAAGAAATCAGCTGTGGGAGCAATT